GGGGCACGAGGTTCCCAAGTCCGCTGTGGTGGCTGCGTATTGAGAGGGTAGGCGCCCGAGGCGTATTCCCGAGTGGCTTGGAGATTGTGGCGTAAGCCGAGGCTTTGCGAGGGTGGAGCTTGAGTACGATTGACCGTGCAGTGTATTGTTTGGTTATTAATAAATAGGGGAAAACCCGGCTACTTGACGGTGGCCAATAACGTGTTTAAGTTGCATACGGGGTGACCGACAACGGGGACCTTGGCGAACAGCGCAGCAAGCACGAGCGGCTACGCGATCCGCCGGCAAGCAGGCGACCCTAGACTTGTTACAGGAACACGCACGCAGCAACAACGACGACGTAACATTACTGTAACCGAAGTAGAACACCCGGCGCTACTCACTCTTACTGAATAAAAATTTGCCGAACAACCGGCAAAGTTACATTCTTTAAGGAGTTTGCCTATTTTTTTTAATGAAGAGCACAAACAAATTTTCAAGAACTTTGTTACTATGCTATAAAACGGTATAGGTCTGCGGTGTACACTACCCGTAAAAGGTTATCCTTACTGAAAGTAGTCCTTGTCAATACTCGACAGGAACATTTTGCAAGTTGGTTTTGGGAGTGCAGCGATGCAACAGAACATGTATACTACACCATATCCAGCTCAAACAGGGACATCCTCCAGGCCAATGCGACACGTCGCACGGCTCTATTCGTAATTCTATTTTGGGTAGGTCATTTTTCGTGTTAGTTTGGGAGACTCCGGATCAAGCGAAGTTTGCTTCAGAGCAACTGGAATTCCCTCTCAAATAAACTATGCAACTAGAGAGTGGTAAATTGGCTTGGCATCCGCAGTCATGACCCTATGACTCGATGAATCCGTCCATAACTTCGGCCACAGTGCTCACTACGGTGTAAGGCAGGTGTCATTTGATAGAGGAGAATGTTGGCAGCATTGTATATACAAAAGCGGCGCGTCCGAGGCCCGTTCGATCACCTTGTCCATCTTCCATATTTTAAGCTAAAGTCTGTGATGACCCCCTTAAAACATATTCTGAATGATTGTTGTCTCGCTTGGTCTGGAGCAAATCTCACTTGGTGTGGAGCGTGTGAGGTTAATTACGAGAATTTTTACGTTTCGGTAAATTCCGAGCATAAGTTGTATGAATAGTAGATTATAGATTTTCGCATGTTTTTGCCACAAAATGTTTTTCGGCAACTTCTGCATCATACACGTAATCAATGGCGTTGAGAAATGCTCGCAATCACTTTCATGCTTTAACTGTGTAAATGTATGGCACTCGCTGGGTTTAACGTTTTCTTCAAAGCCGTTTTAGACTGGCACAACGTCCCCTACCTCCCCTCCGACGTACATATTGTACTTCAAAGGGTGAGTTGTACAGAACACGGATGCCTTTGAAGGACGGATCAAAAAACTGCCTTGTCAGATACGTATCTTATGATAGTAAAAAATCTTTGCATTGGTCTCATGGCATCTTGAAAAATGTATTAGATAACTCGTTACTTGGAAGGGTAAGTCGCCGTTCTTGGGATTTGGTCTGGGTGTTGGTTCGGTATAGGCCGACCGACTTCATTTCACAATTGACTTTCGATCAAAACAAGACCCCACTCCCTCCCGATCAAGTTAAATGCGCCAAAAGATTTATTTGCTCCTGCTCCTACTCAATTTCACTGTCTTTGTCAGTTGTATTACATGTGCTAAGCAAACTGATATTGGGACGGCCTTGGAAGCAGACTTCAGTCGCACGGGATTCGAAATGGCAAAGACGCAACGAGCTCTTCGAAACGACAAGACAACAGTTCAACCGAAGGGTGGAACTCTCAACGAAGAGCAGGAGGAGAGAGCACCCTTATCCCTCCCAAAGCTCAGCAAGTTGTTTCAGCGGAACGCGAAGAGTATGCCAAACTTACCAGTACAAAGAAATCCAACGCCCGTGGAGGAGCTAAAGCGCCTGAAGAATAATCCGGCTGTTCTGAAGGAGATCAAGAGTGTGAAAGAAAACCCTGAGATGATGAAGAGAGTCAATAGTCTGAGAAACGACCCCAAGTTCATCAAGTCTTTGGAAAAGCCTCCCTCGCTAAAACCCATTAAAGAGGCACAAACGTATCTATCAAGAGGCCTAAGCGAAGAGGTTTCTGAGAAACTGTCGGTATATTTGTTCTTTTTCGGATTTTTTGGATTTGTTGGAGCTTTTTTCGGGGCGTATTTCCTACTCAATAAAATAAATCCGCCGGACGAGTAATGGGGAGAGCAATTGAATTGATTTAACTGATTTGATCAAGCGATGAATTAACGGCGTTTTACTCTTTTTGCATTCTTCTTAATCATGATATGGAACAGTGCAAGTTTTAAATTCGCATGAATGCTGGTCAGCACCATGATTCCTCCCAAGCAACTAGCAACGTGAGCGCTCTATCCAATACTAGAGATGTTTGAAATCAAACTGCATTTTTAGGCTTCCGACACATTACCAACACTACATCGTTTCCACTTCAATAGCCCCGAGAACCTTAGTGTCACCCTAAAAAGCCCGCTTAAAGGCGATTAGCCGATGTAGTGTTGGAAGTACGCGTTGACAGCAGCCCTTACGTGTAGTACTCATCAGGTTTGTATTCCGAAACAAAATCTAGTCGCAATAATGCTTTCGCTTGTGCAGAAATAACCAGCGACAGACCAGCACAATCGGAAGTCGATTGTCATCTCCTTTTCAACGATTTTCAAAGGTGCGTGCAGTAATGAGGTCATGCATAATATCTGATGCCTGAGTTGTTGTGAGCTTCTTCATTTTTTGTATTTTTCGGGGAGACAAACTCAACCAAAACAGCTGAAGCTCTACATTATTCGTAAAAAAAAATATTGTTAGCGACAGACGAGTTAACAGCGCAAGTTTAACGTACTCGATTAGATTGGGTGGTATTCGTCCAGGGTTCTTTTTTGCGAAGCCTTTAATCTGGCGGTCGAATCGGAGTAGATGTGGTCGGAGGTTCGGTGGTTCAGTAGCTCGTTCTGCCAAACGTATCCATTCCACCAAAACCTCGGCAATTCTAGCGAAACGGCTCCAGTCTTCTTCTGTCCGTGAAGCACTGTTTTTCTGCTTGCACGTTTGAATATCTTTCCGGAAGATACTGGCTAGCTTTCCAAGAGGTTTTTCCATACGATCTGGTTCCAACGCGCCGAAACGAGTCAGTTGTTCAATATAATTTTCCATTTTGCGTAGTAAGTCCGGTCCCGAGGAAGCCCAAATCTCAGTAATACTTCGTGACATAGCTTCCAATTGCGGGTCAGCTAGACAAGCCGGCACATCTGCGTTCTTTTTCGCATGTGCAACTACTTGAGCAATGCTTTTCGTTGTGCCCTCAATCCAATTCCGACTAATTTTCCTCTTCTCTTGATGACGTTCGATGACCGTAGGCAGTAACACCACAGCATCTCGGAAATCCGCTGCGATCGCTTCACTAATATTGCCTCCATCTTGAATCAAGCCAACCATTCCTTTTAAAGACAGCGAGCTCCGGTGCATTAAAGTGGACATTGCTTTCCTCACAGTCGCCGCCTCTTCATCTTCCCTCAGCTCCGAGCATTTTTTGGCTTGCTTCACAAAAATCGCAACGTTATCACTAAGACGATTTCGATTACGAACTACAGCCAATTCCTGCCGCTTCAGCTTCGGTTCTTCTGCTTTTTCCGTCTCATCATCTCTTGATCGTTTCACTCCAACTCCAGTCATCAGTTCATTTTCGCCTTCTTTCTCCTTCTCGACTGCAGCTTCGTCTTCTGTCTCTGTCTCTGAGTCGTAATCCACCAAGTCTTGAGTCTCCAATTTGATGCGAAGGTCTTCAAATTCTGCGTTTTTTGTGTTTGTCAACTCCTCCGTTCTCTGTCTAGAAGCTTGAGCGACGATGGCGCGAGTTTTAGAGCGGATTTCGTCCAGCAGCTGCTCGATGTGGATGAGTACAGGGGTCAGTATTGCTGCGGAGGGAACTCGTGAGGCATGAGAGTAGTTTGAGGGGAGCATTAAGGCATCCGCGACGCGCACAAGCTGCTGCTCAACGTTGAGCAACACGTCCATTGTTGGCAATAATACGTTTTTTTAAAAAAAAACTAAAATCTGTCATTTTACTGAAATTAAGATGTATTTTAAAGTTGAACTAGGGTTCACTAAAAAAAATAGTGACTTCTGATTTTCTCGAAATTTTTAACTACACGAGCGCATTGCGATCATCTTCCGAATCGAGAGGAAATATAGGACCACTAACTTCATCCAATGATCAACCCAAGACCAGATAGGGCCATCCGTTTTGGCTTTGCTGGGGTCCATCAATTCAGTCGAGTACAACGCTAACGGACAAGCTGTAAACGTGTCAGCAGTGCCATTTTGAATCTTTTCAATGTCAGCGCAATACACAGATTTCCCAGCCATGGGCATCCTATGAGCACTCTGACGTTTGGTAAGGCCATTTGTCCACGGCCAGAAATATGAAATATTTGTACCGTTGAGGATAGTCGAATTACGTTTTTAGGCAACTCGACAATGTTAGTATAACCAATCGTTAGTTCTCTCATTCCTTCAATCTCAAACAATTCCGGTGGAAGTTCGTTGATAGGGTTTCCAGTAAGGGATAAAAATTGTGATTGGATGCGTAGAAGTACCTCCGGAACAGCTTGAAGCTCGATAAAAACGACCAATCCGGCGTTCCATTTGTAATCGAGATCGTCAGGTAGCTCGCGTATATTCATGACACACATCTCGAAATCATAAAAACCTACTGGGGTATCATTTGACTGGAACCCTGCTGGTAACAAGCCGTCGGTCATATTCACTCGAGCCAACATAAGCGACAAGAATGCAGGATGGTTTGTATTCGTAATAGCGGCAGAGTTTTTCCACGCAGTGATTGTCGTATTATAGATTTTAATACTGATGAGCTGGTGGAACTCTGTGAAAAATATCAGGAACATCGAGAGAGGGGCAATGTTTGATTAGCATGATGATCACAGTAGATCCATCAAACTCGTGGCCATGCCCATTTGGTCAAAACCGATGGACAGAAAAACACGCGGAATCACTTGAAGAAAAAATCGTTCGCTTTTTTAATGGTATAACATGTTAAATAGAGATATTGAAGCACTTTCTGTAGCCACATCACTGTTGCTTTTCAGGCGCTGACGTGATGGATCGATAGATTGTACTTCTATGAAGTAACGAACAAACTGCACGAGTTTATGGTGTCAGATATTGCTTGGTGCGACGATAAAGGCCACTACTAACTAGATTTCCATCTGAGGATAACATTAATTTATTAGTGGGCGTTCCCTGTAGACTGACGGAGTGTCAATAATTTTTTTAAACGCATCGAAACGTGCCGGTATTTAACTCATAAATACTTTTAGAAGAAAAGATAATACATGGCGAGCAAGACGAGAGAACATCAAAATTTTATCTAGCTTTAGAATGATATCTTACGGAGATTTTGCCACTATACGGTGATACGATACATTCCATCCCAGCCCAATAGATCAAACATGGTATCATACAGAGGTGATGAACAGTCAACAGCTTTGATGAGCCGGTCCCAATTCGCCTCGGAAGAATTCATCAGTATCGATGAGGAGTCTGCTTGAAGCGGGGCAGTGAATGTTGCTGATTCCCCGTTACGAATTCTATCGAGGTCGTTACAATACGTCGAACCACTTGCTAGTATCATTGGTGACACCTCGAGCATCATTTCGACAAGTGGGTCGATCCATGACCAAAAGTATGAGACTGCTGTGTTCCTCACATCAATAAACGGAGTATTCATGGATGGATTTGAAATAGTTCGTGGTAGTTCACTAATGTTTGTGTGAGCTAAAATGAGGTAAAGCATGCCATATATCTCGAAGAGTTCAGGTGGGATCTCTGTTATGGGATTCCCCCCTAACACCAGGAAGAATGGTTGCAAGCGAATTAACGCTTGCGGTACAGCAGTGAGCTTGCTATTCTCCACGTAAACACTGGATCCGACATGCCACTTGGCATCAATATCGTCTGGTACACTCGCAAGATTTGTCTCGCAAAAGTTTATATAGTAAAGATTTGCTGGGAAATCTATAGACTGAAGACCCACAGGAAGAATGCCATCCTTCATTTTTGTGCGCACCAGTGATAGCATCGTCAGCCTTGGATGGTAAGTGTTCGTGATAGCAACATCGTCCCCCCAATTATCAATAGTCGTGTTGTACACTCTAATTTCTTGTAGCAGAATGAAGTCGGAAAAGCTAGTAGGTACTTCAAAAGCAGGACAATGCAGAACGATGAGCTTTACAGCCGTTCTGTGATCAAATTTCTTCCACTCAGTGAGTACTTCGTCGTGTTGACCAGATATACTCAGTTTATGGCAATTAAAATCCACGACAAAACAAGACGGTAGAACACCAGCCATCGGATGGACTTTAGGCACACACTCCATTAACGGGATTTGGGTGATAGCGTAAATGTGCAACGCCAGCACCACGAAACCCCAAAATGCAAATAACAGGTTAATACCGTGGGAAGGTGTTAATCTAGGCGGGGAACACACTACTTTTTTCTTGGCATGAGGATTCTGCATCTGAATACGAGAATTCCAGTTCACGTCATTGTTCTCGGGCAAAGGTGACAAAAGCGTATGAGCTTCGTACGAGAGTTGAATGTGGGCATTATGACCGTCAGCCGGCACAAGCCGATTTTTCCTGTTAGGCTTTCGGCGTAGTAACTCTTTCATGTTTGTAGTGGTCATGATAATTCCAAGTGAGAAGATGACGCGCATTGCCATGTCTGACCATGACACTACTAATACCATCTGAGCCTCATTTAGCATTTGTGCAACCCAATTATCATCACTAAGATCATCAAAGTTGAATCCTGCTAACGCAACATTGTATTGATCCGCGTACCGCAGAGCAATCATCGCTGAAACACCAACAGTAGACATCATATCCAGCGCACAGTCACAAACTACCAACGCAAAGCGACGGTGCGCTTCTCCATGCCAGAACCATCGCGAATGAATCAATACAGATGACCAGCAATTAACCACAAGTAACCCCACGTAGAAGTGATTGAGCTGTGGATGCGGAAGGTATTTGCTCATTCGAATCGCTTGAATCGTCTGGAGTGCGGTCTCAAGAATTTCTCGGAAAATGTGGATACGGTGGAAATGTTTACCATTGACACCAAAAAATCCCTCGCGATGGGCTAAATTCATGTATACCCGTGTAAAGCTTCGACTGACAATGCTGTCAACTCGGTCCTGTCCCACTTGTCCAGCGTTTTTCTTTGGGAAGCACTTGCACAAAGCTTTGGATTCTAAAGTAAATGATACTGTCCGCTGCGATAGCAAACAGAGGATCAAGTGTAGTACGCAAACCCCATGTGCTGAAGCCAAAGCAATGTGAACGTAGGCGATCGTGAGAAAGTCCTCTCGAGGCATTCCGATCGCGTAGGCTTCAAGCGAATAGCTTAGAAACGATGCGTCATAATCCCAGTAGAACTTGGCGAACCCAGCGTTGTACGCACATGTCACGAAGTGAATCAAGAAAATGACGAGCCACCAGAACACGAAGCTGCAATACGAGAGCGTCACATATTCATACGAGGAAGCCGAGCTGAACAGCGTGGGGTAATCCATTCCATGCCTTGCGTTTGTTGTTTTGGCTATTCTGGTACTAGTCAAATATCTTGGTAAAATACAAAATAGCACTCAGTAATTAAGTTTTTTTATAACTATAATCTGCGTTCTGAGCTGAATGAGCCGAATTACTTGCTGTATCTAACAGAAAAAGCAATTTTAACTATGAGATTCGCTCCCTAGCCTCCACACTGTGCACTATAGAAGCTTCGATAGTGCATCGGTGTACCTGTAGAACAGGAAAGGACCTAATAAATGCAGCATCATTTGTGTAAAGTAAATGTTATTGTTGTTCGCTTACTCACGAAGCGCCAAGAGCGAATAAACCGTCCCAGTAGGCAAGATTGGACATCGAGTGATCAGCCACTGTTGTAGTTGTGCAGTCGACCACTTGACGCAATATGTCCCAGTTCGCCTCAGAGGCATTCATTAACAGCGTCGAGTGTCCGGGCTGAAAAGGCTCAGAAAACATTGAGGCGGTACCACTCAAGATCTTTTCGAGATCGAGACAATACGTGGACCCACCAGCAAGTATAGTACTTGACGATATCTCCAGTGCAAGTTCAGCCAGAGGATCTATCCACGACCAAAAGAATGAAATACTAGTGTTCATGATCACCAGCTGAGTAGCATAATTTAGCACAAACGATACATTTTGCGGCAGCTCACGCACTAATGTGCGACTCAGTCTTGTGTCGTGAGTATAACCTTTTTCGAAGAGCTCTCTCGGAACAGTCTGAATTGGATTGCCCGATAACGAAAGTGTTAGCAGTTGTAGACGCAAAAGTGAAGGTGGTACAGCAGTCAGTAAAATATTTTCAATGAAGATCGAACACACAGGCCACTTCACGTCAAGATCATCCGACAAAGCTCTCAAGTTTGTCTCTGCGAAACATATATCAAATACCGTACTAGGAAACTCTTGTGACTGAAGACCAGGCGGTAGAAAGCCGTCTGTCATATTGCTTCGAGCAACGGAAAGTGATTGTAATTTTGGGTGATGAAACCCCGAAAGTGCTGCGTTGGCGTTCCATTCAACAAGTGTCGTATTATACACAAGTATTTCGCCAAGATTTTGGAACTTCTGGATATATATCGGCATTTCCATAGCTGGGCAATGAAGTATTTGAAGCTTCTCAACCGTGTTACGGTCAAATCTTTTCCACTCCCTCTCAACCTCTTCCATTAGCCCAGATAACCCGAGCTGATAACAATCGAAGTTGACTGTAAAGCAGGATGGCAATGCTCCAGCCATAGGATTCACTTTGGGATCGCACTCAATCAGTGGTGTTCGCAGCGATGCATCAACATGCAACGCCAATACTATCACACCCCACATAGCAAAGAGGGTACGGCTCATTCTGAGTAGCCCACGGCGCCGATATTCATTCCAGAACCCACAGAATGTGGTTTTAACTTCGTTTAGGTTCTTGTCAGCTCGATCATTCTGTATACAACGCTGATTAGTGAATAACGGACCAACTGAATCCAACTGGTTAGCGCTAGTTGGGGCGGCATCTGTTGCCACCCGGCTGGGCCTACTAGTAGTACACCGAAGCAGTTCCTTCATTTTGCCAGTTGCTCCAAGTAAACCAAGTGAGAAAACAACGCGAATAGCCATGTCTGACCATGAGGTTACTAGAACGACCTGCGCTTCATTCATCATCTTAGCAAACCACACATCGTCCACCAACAGAGAACCAAAACTCTTTGACTGAATGTCATACTGACCAACGTAACTTGAGACTATCCATGCTGCCACACCCACGGTCGACATCAAGTCGAGCGCACAGTCACAAAGGACTAAGGCAAATCGTCGATATGCTTCGTTATCCCAAAACCAGCGAGAGTAAATAATGACAGAGGACCAGCAATTCGCCACAAGTAAAACCACGTAAAAACGATTGAGGTGAGGATGAGAAAGATATCTGCTCATTCGAACGGCTTGCAGTGTCTGAAGAGCTGCTTCAATCAGCTCTCTAATGATAAGGATAGTGTGGAAGTATTCTCCATTTGCGCTTAGCCCAGGGCGCTTACGAGTGATATAACCCAACACCTTTTTCAATCGAGTCCGAATGTTATGTGCGGATGCTCGATAAACAATCTGTCCTTCACCCATCGACAATACTGAAGTCTCCATTTCCTTCACTATCCTTTCCTCGCTCAGGACTCTCTTGGGTGTTAGAGTAAATGCTAGAGTACGTTGCTTCGTAGATCCAAGAATCATTAACATAATGTAAAACCCATGTACTCCAGCCAAAGCTATGTGGACGTAAGAAATAGTGTCGAAATCAGACAATGGCATTCCAATTCCGTGGCTCGCAAGCGCGTACATCAGATACAAGTCGCCAATATTCCAATAAAATAGAGCGAAGCACGTGTTGTACGTGAATGTGGTCAAATGCACCAAGAAAATGATAAACCACCCAAAGGCGAACCCACACGACTTCAAGGCTACAAATCCATGCCAAGATGGTGAGGACACTGGCGTTAGTTTGTCCATTTGCTTGCTTTGTCCCCACGTTCAATGCAAATGACCTCCTGTAGTTAGCTGAATGCATCGTGTTTTTGTTACCTTAAATAGCTAAGATTGTCTACGGTGTCTCCTATTTATGGTAACGATGTAGCATTAAGCATGGCGACATTTAGCAAAATGACACAAAATTTGAGATACTTACTGCCTACGCTTATCCAGATTGCCATATTTTTGCTAGCAATGAGATGTTTTATCGATTAGGTTTCACGGACACAGTGAAATTTGACGTATATATATGTACATTAGAACGCTGGAAATGTTTAACGTGTTGTGTTGATCGCGAAGTTCATAAATAGAGGTAAAAAAAAATGAATAAATTCATACTTAGTAGTATAAGCTACAGATGAGCATATAAATAGTTGTCAGTGTAGTTTCGAGATGCCGCACCGTGTCGCTCCTGGGAGAGCTCCAGGACTCGCTCAAATTCGTGTTCATGAGCGTATCGCGCGCTTAAGAACGGACAAGTTATCACCGACAGTGCTGAAAATCACTTGGGTTGGCTTCGTATTTCTCCATTTCGCGTGCTTTGTATATTTCACGTTTACTGCTTGGTGTTACTGGAAACTACCAGGAACCCGTCTGGATGCTTGGTTATCTTTGCTTTATATCGGACTGGGTACAGAATATCATCGTATGATCGCGTTGATACATTTATCTGTGGCAATAGTTCATGCTGCGTACATTATTTGGATGATAGGCTGGTCATACTGGAAAAACGATGTGGTATTCGCTATCTACAACGTCGTCAAGGTTCCGGTTCATCTCAACGGAGTTGGAGAAGATTATCCTCTTATTGCACCGGTTAAAGAAGGTTTCTGCTGGGCTTATCGAGCAGTATTCACGCGCGACGGATTTCTAGGAGTTGATGGCCCGAACTTTGACTTCGTCTTACTATGTCGAGAGATAGTGGAGACAGCGTTGCAAACCCAGCAAGCGTATCGCATGAGTCTGCTACTACCACGGCGAGAGCTAAATCGTGGATATGTTGCTTTACTTGTTCTAAACTGCTGGAGCACAGCACTGGTTCACTCATATTTTCGCAATCATGCCACAAGAAGACGGCTACTGGCACTAATTTGTGACTGCATCTTGGATCTAGTCTCATCTGTGGGGATTACAAGTCTACTAGTGATCATGTACATCCCAGATTTCGAGTTTGAAACTTATGGATTCCCATTTCTGAAATGGTACGAGGACGTTTGGCGAGTCCACGCAATGAGCGAATTTCAAATGATTTTAGTGGCTTCGTGGGAGGATTTAGCTATGCGATTTATATTCGCGCTGAGCATGCTAGGGAACATGAATAATATCAAGAAACTCATCCGCGCTAGGCCAATGAAGCGCGTTAGACGTGCAACTAACGCTCGACATCGTGCTACAGTCGTCGCACCATTTCACGCAAGTCTAGCGACTATAAAGAAGAATTTTGATGGAGTAGATCGGGAATCCCTGCACTTTTGGGTGGGTAAAGCAACGGAAATGGGCTTCTTTATGTGGGGATTAGCGGTTTTAATCCTTCATTTATACGCTGAATCCGCGCCTGATCTATCGCAGTGCAAGATGCAAGTCAAGCCGTGGACTACGTCTCAACCGAGTTGCTCCTTACTTGAGCTGAATTGCTTTGAATCTGGATTTAGTGGCTCTAAATCTGAAGTCTCAGAACAATGGAGTGAATTTGATCCTGCAACTGTAATTCGTGTGGTTATACGCCATTGTCCAGCGCTGGATCTTCCTGTAATGTTGACCGAGTTTTCTGGTTTGAAAGAGTTCAAAATCTACAACTCTAGTATCACGAGCTGGGATGAAGATGCCGCCTTCACTCAAGCATTTCATCCCATGCTAACAACACTTTTTCTAATCCGTGTAAATATGACGAATGGCGAACTGCCGCTTGGTCTCCAGGCTGACAATTTGCCCCAGTCCTTGGAAGATATCGAGTTTTGTGTCACAAATCTACGTTCCCTACCTGACGATTTGGACGTGAAATGGCCGCAGTACGCGAGTATCTACCTTGAAGCCAGTCAATTTCAGGAAGTTCCCCCATCACTGGTCCGGCTTGCTCCGTATGATTTATCATTGTCATTGAACCCTATTGCGGCCATTCCTGAAGAACTTTTTGAGAGTGAATCAGTCGCGTATCTGAGCTTTGGAGGCACGCTAATCTCAGAACTCCCAGAAAACGTCTCAAATTTGGCGTCTTCAATGTACGACATAAACCTGAGTGATACCAACATTTCCTTCTTCTGGTCGTGGATTGACCCGTTGGTCATAACTCCGTCAAATGCTCCTCCGATAAGCGCTGGAGGTACCCCTTACTGTTTGGATATTCTGCGTATTTTGGAAAAACGACAAACAGCGTTTGCCATTTCCCCTCCAGAGCACATTGATCAGTCCATACTGAATGATGCTTCTGTCGATAACTGGGACATCCTAGAGAAAGCCGTGTATTGTGAAGAAGAGGATAGCACTTGGTATCCCCTAGACTTTGAGGATGAATATAGTAAAATTATATGAATAATAAATGTGTTTTGGCGGTGTGCTACTTGTGAGCTAGTTCTCGCCATCTGCATTATGCCGTTCTGTATCGAGTATGAGACACAAAATATAATCACTAATCTAACGTAGTCAAAAACCATTTGCCTATCTAAAAATGCATTCATTTAGAGAAGTAAAGAAAAATAAAGAAACCGTGTATAAAGTAAGCTTTTGTGTTGCAAAGAAACAAGGCAATGGAGATACATAAGTTGCGACGATTCGTGATCAACTTTGAAATCAATATATTGAACCTCCATCCTCCTAAAGCACCCTCCGAATGCTTACACAACTGACGAGAACACCCCCGTCCTTTGAAAAGCAGTTCCTCTCGCGCTCTTAAGCCAACACGTGCCACCCTCGTAATTGTTCCACGAGAATGCCCGGCAGTTGGAAGTTCTCATACAGATGGAACAGCAGCCATACGCGTCGGCACTTCTAGCATTGCCAATTGTAGCACCATCATAGTCGACATTCTCCTCCATGGCACAACTTGGAGCTGGCGGGTTCGCAGTAGACTGAGCCGAAATCACTCCGTCCCTGCGAACAGTACCATCTTTACGGTTCTTGAGCCAGCAAGTGCCTCCGTTTGTGTTGGTCCACGAAAATGCACGGCAGCCACCAAAATTCCTGCAGATTGAGCAGCAGCCACTGGCAGTGCTGGATCGTGCACTGCCAATGTCATTGCCGACATAGTCCACGCCATTCTCGAGACCACAAGTCGTAGTTTCGAGATAAGGAGATCCCGAGGTAGAGCCCGCACGCACCACCATCCGGCCCTTGGCACTCTTCAGCCAGCACGTACCGCCATTGAAGGAGGTGAAGGTGTACGCACGACATCCTGGTGTATTGCTGCACACCGTACAGCAGTCTGTCGCTCGAGCCGCAGACGCACTACTGATGTCATTGCCCACATAGTTAATATTCTGCTCCTGTCGACATCCCATCTCATTGCTCATGACCGCCGACCTCGCGGCGGAGCTTGCAACGATGGTGCCACGACCACTCTTGAACCAACAAGTTCCGTCGTTGAAGTCGGTCCACGTGTACGCGTTGCATCCTGGTCGGTTGGAACAGGGAACGCAGCAATCCCAAGGAGTAGGGGCTTGTGCACTACCGATATCGTTACCGCTGTAGTCGAACCCATTCTCTACAACACACTGAGGCTGGTTGAATTCGACACCGGGCTCGAAATTGACTTGGAGTTCTCGTGTGGTATTGACCGGCAGCGTGTCGTCCGTAGCGGCTCCGGGCCAACAGGAGATAGCCAAAAACAAACAAAGCAGTGTAAACTTCATCGTGGACGTTCAGCAGACTTGGTAAAACACAAAATGAACAACCAGGCCTTGCCCGTTTCACATCGTCCGGGGCAGACGACGAACCCAGGAGCACCGAGACGTGCCTTTTGAACAACAATGTGTAATGTTTCAAGGTATAATTTCTTCGATCGATACTTCCTCTTGAAGGAGTCGTTTCAGTATTTTTCTTCTGTGCACGTTCTTTTGCATTACGTACACCGCTACGTGTTGTTACGTGTTGTGGGATGGCGGGGCAATGAGACTAAGCAACGCCGAAATACAAATAGACACAGCAACCTCGGTTCTCGAGCTCTGCATAGAATAGTTGTGACTCACAACTATTCAATGTACTTGTGAGTGTACCAAATCGATCCTACTACCTGTAAATCTTCTGCGGAATTCGCAAACAACCTGTGTTTGCTTATTTTGCGTATCCCCTAGATGTTTTTCAAAACCAACTCTCCGTACACATGTCATGTACTATTGTCTACGGCGTTCCACTGAGCGGTTCTTTTCGGTTTGCTGGACCTCTGTTTCATCTCGCTCATTGCTCCCTCCTTCTCCTCTGTCTCTGAAAGCAACAAAAACAGATTTATGCTTCTACAATGTAATAAATGTTTCTCTACTCCACTTTTATATGTCGTAGTTGATTAAGGCTAAAGTTATCGAGTCGCAGCTATAAATGCCTACCATGTCCCTCCTTTCAATACTCATCATCCACGAGTTGCCGATGCAGCGTCGAGCAGAGACTACCGACAGTTGTCATGGCCGTCCTGAAAATGAGACTGATTTGAGCAGAGTCTTCTCGGATGTCACCCTGCGTCTCTGTTGGTTTGCATTTGTCCTTCTCCACGCGTATTGCTGGATCTATTTTGCAGCGATGGCTCTGTGTTACTGGGGTTTACCTGGAACGATGTTGGATGTCTGGTTATACTTGTATGGACTGAGCTTGGGCACCGAGCATGACCGTAACATTGCCGTCATTCTGGGAAGTGTAGCGTCAATTCATTTGTGCTACTTGGTGTGGATGCTCGGCTGGTCCCTTCAGAAGCGTCAGTTTGTCTTTGCTGTTTATGATATTTTTCCGCCGTCAAGGACAGATTCAATACGTATAAACAAGCGCCTACATCGCTACGCTAGAAATGTCTATCGCGCAGTATTATCAAGCATTGGCGTTCTCAGTGTGGACAGCCCATACTTTGACTTGGTGCTGATATGTCGAGAAATCGTCGAGACTGCGCTTCAGACCCAGCAGGCTTATCGAATGAGTGTATTACTCCCGCGTACGCGATTAAACAGATGCTACGTTGCATTGCTAGTTATCAACTGCTGGTCGACTGCGTTGATACACTCCACTTTTCACAAGATATCAACGAAACGCCGATTCTACGTGATTGTGTGTGATAGCGTACTCGATATGGTGTCATCTGTCGGCATATCAACGGTTATACTAGCAATTTACGCAGTGGATTTTGACTTTGAGCTAGGCGAATTTCCAAGCTACAAATGGTATGAAGACGTTTGGCTTATGCACGTCCTGAGTGAGTTTCACTTGGTGCTGGTCACTTCGTGGAGCGATTTGGTGATGCGACTGGTGTTCTCCTTGAGCATGTTAGGCAACATGGATAATATGAAGAAGCTGCTGTGTACAACTACTACAAGTGCGATACCATCGGAAGTGAGAAAACTCAGTGTCAATCGACGAAGATCTTCAATAGTGCCTGCTTCTGACCCTAAAGTGACGGATGTGAAACATGCGTACCGTAAGAACAGGTTACAAATTCTGATAGAGTCCCGAGTGATGCAAGGATTTTTTGGTATGTGGGGAGCTGCTCTATTGATTCTCCACTTATACGCTGAGTCAATCTCAAGCGTCCCGCAATGCGCAATGCAAGTAAAGCCTTGGGGCACTTCCGTGCCATCATGTTCTTTATTCGTTTTGGACTGTCATGCCGTCAGCATGGATGGTGTTAGTGATGAAGTTTCAATTCAGTGGAGTACGTTTGACCGCTCAACTACCTCAGGTTTAGTGATCAGACACTGTCCTCACTTTGAAGTTCCTGTCATTTTGACCGAATTTAAGCGGCTTAAACTGCTGAAATTCTACAATACAACCATTACGGAGTGGAATGAAAGCGCTGCTCTATCACAAACTCACCATCCAAGCCTTGTCATGTTGTTCCTGGTACGTGTGAACATGACAAATGGCGAGCTGCCGACCGGTTTACAGGGGAGTGGCTTCCCAAAATCGCTAATGGATATCGAATTCTGTAACACAAATTTACGTGTACTACCCGACGATCTAGATTTGAAATGGCCAAAATCAGGAACGATCTACTTCGAGGCAAGTAACCTGTCCACAGTTCCAGACTCGTTAGTAAGGCTTTCACCATACGTTACCTCGCTCGCATTGAATCCGATTGCGAGTATACCCGAGTCGATATTGATGAGAACCGCCGGCTATCTTCACGTTGGTGGAACGCTCATCACTGGATTACCGCAGACTGCGAAGATATCACCATTTTTTAAACTGCGAGTAGATCGTACCAATGTTTCCTTCTTTTGGGATTGGGTCGATCCGATGGTCGCCCATGCGGGTCTGGTATACAACAGCCTTCCAACGATCCTGGCAACGGGTTCTCCATACTGCTCGGAGTTGCAGAGAATTTTTGAAGGGAGTCAATCGAACTTTTCAGCACCGTGGCGCCAAGGGGTATCAATGACCTTGTCAGATGCATCTCCGGAGAACTGGGCGACACTCAAGAAGGCAGTATCATGCGGGGCATGGACACAGACGCTGTATCCTGTTGAGTTTGAAGATAACTACAGCAAGATCGCCACCGAGTTAGACTGATATATAGTGTGTAAAGCTAGCCATCGCCCGCTTAATGCTTTATCTTTGCTAAGTATTTCGTGTTGCTGCAGGATAAGCAACCATAAAATGGCACTTGATCAGGTTTTGACACAGGAGCAGACGTAACCTTTACGAACCTTAAGAGGAGTGGTAGTCTGCCAGGATACATCTCGTCGAACTTCAATAGCTGCTGCAGTACCCTTTTGAACATTTTTGAATGCGCCTTCACCTGCTTACTGCTAACACCGTGTTCTATCTAACCTGCATGAATGCTCCCAGCAGCCATCCAGTTTTCTTCTGTTTGAATAACTTCTTAGAACTGAATTATGTAAGATTATTGATATGTCTGGTTACAATTGAGTCAATCGGACGCACAATTGCCTTGAGTTTCAACTGTCGTCCTTCACGCTGGTACGTCTCAATACATTCTTCGATTTCATCGAGGCTGGGTGCGTCGTTGCTTTTATAACTTTTGTAGCCGTATTTCTTGACCAAATATTGGCTTAGTTGGGATCCACATGTGATCAATAGTTTGTGTTGTTCCACTAACGCTTCACTCGATAGTTTTCGGGCAATAGTCTGGATCCCTAGCACTGTTTTCTCTAGCCAAGACGATTCTACAAGCTTCTTCGGAACATCGCCAGGACACGCAGGAGTAGACGTAACCTTTAGTGATGATTGGTGATGCTTCAAGGCCGTTGTTACTTGCTGCAATTGGTGCTCGACGGCACGTACTCCCTCCTCCATGTTGCCGCAAAAACTGTGAATGTGGATACAAATGTTCACAATAAACTTAGACCTTTTCTGACATCACTTTTTAGGTTTTCAACGAGAAGTGTATATAATGTATACATGTTCAACAATGCTTTCGCGGTTGGAGGACGTGGAGCTGCTGTGGACAGCGGCGACGGCTATCCAGCTGCATTTGCGGCTACTGAAGGGCGAGATACGGACAACCGAGCGGGCAGAGATAGCTGCAGCAGCGATCGTATGTGGACGGATCGAACACGTGCACAGCGAGCTGTGGCATTCGACTACGGATGTTTGGCTAAAGAAAACGAAGAAGTCGATGAAGACACTGAAACGGAGGATGAGGCCGAGGATATGGAAGATACGGAGCTGAAGACGAGAAGAGTGGACAGCGTTGGTGCGATTAAACGTCCGCATGGAGAGGTTAAAGTGGGCAAAACGGTAGAAATCAAAGTTGAACATCTAGAGATACCTTCAAAGCTTGATCGAGCAGTCAATATTGATGATAATAAGGTGCAAAAAGAAGAAAAGAATGAAAAGGTCGCCGGGGGGGAGAAAGAGAATGATGGGGAGAGTGGGGAAAACATTGATAAAGAGCAGCGCTCTTGCAACTTGAAGCTTAACGATGATACGCTGGCAGAGGAGACGAGTTGGCGTAAAAATGAACATATTACTGAATCTACGTCCAATATCGGAGCACAAGCAAGAGGGAATCATTCGTACGCAAAGATAATGGCAGCTGTCGGAATACAGGGACAAAAGCTGTTGCAAAAACACCAAGGAGTGAGTTAACGAGTTTTGGAGAGGAAGAAGTCGAGAATGTACTGGAGATGAAAGTGAAGAGAGTAGGTGCAAAGTTAGCGACAGCGGTTAGCACGGCCGGAGAACATAATCCGACTGCGTATTTGAAGACGAGGGTGGCCAAATTGAAAGCTTTCGAAGAGTTTGTAAACTGCATTAAAGCACCGAGGTTTCTTGGTGCATTTCGGTTTGGGTTCGAAGTAACGAACGAAATTGTAGAACTTTCGATGAAAATGTCGCTTGCCGTTGGATGGCATTCAGACAAAAAAAACATTAAAATTTTAATGGTTTTTTTTTTTCGTCTGAATGCCATCCTGGCCAATCAGCATGCGTACCGACGAGATTTTGGAACTAAGTTAATAGGGTTGTAAGTTGCCATTTGGCAACCATTGCGTCGTGCGTTCACAGCTGCTTGTGTTGTTGCAGCAGGAGTATAATATCCATCGAGCAGAAAACAAAGAGTATCACCCGTGTGAATAACAGGAAGTCCGTTTCAACACTATACCGTGGAATTTACACTAAGAAGCGACCTCGCCCAGACTGGAACAATGTGTAACTGGAATCCAGTCGATATCTTCTGTTATATTCCCGCTTGGCGTAGCAAAGTGTATTGAATGGAAGCGAAATACTTCGAAGTACCAACAACGCACAAGCAAGGGTATTTTTTTTTGCCGCAAATGATGCTGTCTATGAACACGCAACCTGGACGAAGTTAAAGTGTGAGGAATGCCGGTGTTATTTTGAGTCGCGGTAGCAGCGTGGAGTTGACAAAAGACGATCGAATTGTTGTCGTCGAGCTTTATGAAGCTGGAATTTCACTTGAAAGGCATTTTTAGTGAATGGGGATCGATGTGACGGAGACCCAACTCAACGTTTAACACTTGGACTTACTCGTTATTACCCGCTTTCTTACTGTTCAGAATGCACAATAGAAGTGTGGTGCCCACTCCAACGAAGTGATCCCGATTGGCAGGTTTGGGAAGGCACTCTCCAAATGAGCTCTGCAGTCGAAACTCTGATACTGAGTCACTTCCTAAAGAAGTTATATGGCCAGCCACAGCAAGGTTTTCGGGTGGATTTATACCATTTTTGAGGTACACTTTCTTAAAATTTACGTACGCGTGTTCATTGCTTTAAGAACACAATTTTCTGGGCAATCAGTGCCACATAATGGCATTATCCCGCAACTGTGACCTGAAGATTTTACCTTAGTTGATCCGAGGAGAATTCGACAATATGCCTTGTGTTTTTACATATCGTTATCCCGGAAGCTATGAAACTTGTCAAGTTTCCTACTGTACGACTCCTTTTTCAATCAAAACTGAAGTAAAAAAATAGTGACAGCCCATGTTTACACGTAAAAAAAAAATTTCTTTGCACATCTGAGCAAATATTGACATTACAAATCGAGATTTTTATTTGGGCGGTAAGGTATACAATGTATACTTGCTTTTCACTTAGGTATGCACCAATGCTATCGCGGCTGGAGGACGTGGAGCAGAAATTGTGGACGGCGGCGACAGCCATTAAGCTGCACTTGCGGCTGTTGAAAGGTGATCGTGAGGCGATCGGATGGGCGGAGATAGCGGCGCTCGCGCTCGTATGTGGCCGGATCGAGCAGGTGCAGAGCGAGTTGAGAAACTCGACCACCGAAATATTGTCGTTGGCTAGAAAGAGCTTGGCTGGAGGAGACGGTCGAGAAGAAGAAAACGAGCGAGAATGCGAAGATGGAGACACCGAGACTGAAGATGAAGCAGAAGAAATGGAGAGCGTGAATGTGGAAACGAGAGGAGGAGACAGTGTTGATGAAACGTTTGAACGACTGCATACTGATGCAGAAGATATGCTGATTGGAGAAGAACAAAGAGAAGAAGAAAGGTACAAAGAGGTCGAAGTGAAGATGGAACACTCAGATGTGCCTTCAAGGCTTGATGAGGATGCCGAGAGTGATGTAAAGGCAGAGAGAACGGAGCAGCAGAATACAATTGAAGAAGATGATGACAGACAAAAGAATGATGCAGAGAATGTGGAAAATGAGGAGGTGACACTGTGTGAAGAAGAAAATATGATTGAATCTGGAGTGAAAATGGAGCAATTGAGACAGTCGACAGATGCCATAGATGCTAGAAATGAATCAGTGTTGTCGAGCTGTGAACAAACGAAACCAATTCACAAATTAACAGACGAAGCGAACGAATCAGTAGAAGAGCAAATTGCGGATAAACGGTCGGGTAATGAACAAAAAGAAGCACATGAGTGTGCTGCCGAAGCGAAGGGTGTGGAATGTGGCGCCGAAGTTGCCATCAGCGGTGAGAAGACTGAAATACAAGAAGATATTCCAGCACAGCATCATACTGAGGCTGTTCAGGAAGAGTATAAGGTCGAAGAAAATGAGGCACCTGCTACGTCTGTTGCTGCTTCCCAGTTTACAGAAGCACACACATCTGTGGATACAGATAATGCGAACTGTCACCCAGACGAGGACACAAACAGTGATGCAAAAAGCCACGAACCTTTGGCAAAGGCCGATGCAAAAGCATCCACAAGCGGGTCGAGTAGTTGTGTGGACGAAGCGAAGGCAGCAGTGGGGATGGAAACTACAAGAGCGGTAGCAACGCTTCCAGTCGCGACTGATGCGGGAGAACGTGAGAGAACCACTTGCGTGCAGGCACGAATGGCCAAACTGAAGGTTTGTGAACAGTTTGTGAAGTGGATCAATGCTGCTAAGATTCGCCGTGTGCTTCAGACCGGAACTGCTAGTGTAAAAACAGTCAAAAGCCTCGAAGCCACAGTTACACGTGTGGCATCAATTGCCACAAGTAGCAACTCCAACTTAAGCTCCCGATTGTGGATCGAGCGAATGGTAGCAGGTTTGACCCACATCTTCAAGATCACCACTAAACCAGAACTCATCCAAGCTCTCATTCCAGTACGAAAAATATGTTCCCAGCTGCAGCAGTATTGTACTGCTAATTTTCTAGATTATCTCCAAGATTTACAAAATGATTTAAGACGCATCGAGTATTTGCAACAGAAAGGAGAACTTGATTCGAGCGGATTAATTACTTCGGTTCGCTTTCTTCTGGATCAATTACGTCAGGACTGCACTAATTATTCCACCCAGCACACTGTCGATGGCTGTATCTCCCGCACCGAGAAGCAATGGAAGACCTTGGCGTTGGTGTGTGACCAAATAGCCACATGGATGAAACAAATTCCTCCAAATCAGGAGAAATTGCCTGTCGATTATCTAACACTCTCGTTGCAATCTTTGGGCGCATTTGAAGCACGGTTTCCGAACAGGATACCCGTGAAGTTACTGGAGTAAGTGTTTATCGCCCCCAGTAATCAGTGTTTGTTTCACATTCTGATAAATCATCCTGATGGTATTTGTATGTAGGAACATTGTCTCTATGGCGCAGAAAACTAAGACCAATATTTCAAATACCAATGTGGAGAACGAGGCGAATACTCCGGTATCGTCTGATGTTATTCCCAACACTAAGAAGCGACCTCGTACAGACTCGAACAGCATCGAGCCAGAGTTTAAGCGACCTGCGGCCAGAGATCCTTTCGGCCCAGTCAAGTTTATCGTCGCAAAATTCGTTGAGGCGGCGTCGAAAGTCAAAGTTTTGGTTTCAAATGGAAACGAGGCCATCAACAGTACACAGCAAATGGGAACCGCTCTGGGTGCTATGAAGCTAGCTGCGACCTCAGCGATTAGTGGTGTCACTGAGCTTCTGGAGCATCCCGACTACCAAGACGACGACATTGTGACGCGGTTTAGCACTGGAATGGAGATCATGGCGAGTATTCTTTCTAGTATTCCTGCACAGGATTTCAAGTTTGTGTGGTTGGAGCACACCATGAATGACTTGATGTACATACTGAATCTTGATAGCAGCAAAGGTTTGAAAGTGCAGTATAAGTCGTTGGGTTCGAGCTTTTCGGAGGTGGAATCGTACCTGGAGGACAATTTTTTTGAATGGGAAAGAGAGCCCGTCTCTACTCTTGATGTGATGGAGAACCGCGTCCAGCGCTTTCGCAACCGGAAATTGAAGAATATGATGAGCCCGATCCAGTCCATTTCAGGTGGTTTACTTATTGACATCAACTACTTTACTGCTCATAACGTGGATAAAAAGGTGTTGCGCACTCAAGAGAATTGGTCCCGCTTCACAGCGGTGGGGAAGGTTCTCGCCGTTTGGATGTTCCGGGCTCTCAAATCGAAAGCACGCCTGCCACTGAACTTCTTCAAGAGATTGTTAGAGCAGCTGCAGGAATTTGACGCAAAATTCCCAGACAGATTGTCTCCCTACTTGTTGAGGTAAGCTCGTGCTCAATATGTAGCCATGCCCTTGTATTCTAACAGCGTGATTGTGCTCCAGGAATACAAAGGCTTTAGCGACGTGGCGGCCAAACCTACAAGGGACCCAGAACCGCCACGTACATGTCGAGGTGGAAACCATCAACACTTAGCCATGGTATACAGAGTCGGCCATCCATCCAAACCTTTAGAAACTACAAGTAGTTTTTAGTCTTCATTTTTCAGAACTCGCTGTCGTGGATACCATACTTTACATCCCAATATTCGAGAGGAAAGAGTGCTAGACCGTATGATGGTGAGCAATCCACGGCCTGAAGGAGATACTCCCAGTTTTCCACTGACGCATTCATGAGTAGTGTAGATTGGCCAGTCTCAAAAGGAGTAGTGAACTTGGAGGATGAACCACTCATGATGGCATCGAGATCGGAGCAGTACGGAGTACCCCCAGCAGCCAGCAGAGGCGTGACCCCTAACATATCCTCAACAAGAGGCTCCATCCATGACCGAAAGAACGCGATATCAGTATCAGTGACGTCCAAATAGGCCAAAGCGGTTGATGGTTCTGCCACATTTTGCGGAAGTTCGGCGAGATTCGTGCCTCCGAGTGTTAAATAGCTCAGTACACCCTCGAAAAGCTCAGATGGAAGCTGAGTGATCGGGTTTCCTCTCGCCATGAGATACACTGGCCTTAAGTGGGCAAGTGCTGCTGGAATTTCTGTCAGTTTGTTGTTCTCCATGTAAATTCCCGCGCCGCTCGGCCAATTAGAGTCAAGATCATCAGGAAGAGTTTTCAAATTAGTCTCGCAGAAGTTGATTTGCCTTAATCCTGGTGGAAACTCTTGAGACTGCAAGCCAAGTGGAAGCAGACCATCCGTCATATTAACGCGGACCACGGATAATACTACCATTTCGGGGTGATTTGTGCTACTGATAGTGCTGTCTGCGCTCCAATCAACAATTGTGGAATTGTATACTTCGATCTGCTGCAAACCATGAAATTCCACAAAACTTGGGGGAACTTCCAACGCTGAGCAGTGCAGAATGCGGAGTGTCCACGACGTCCCTTTGTCAAATTTACTCCACTCGCTTTGAACTTCATCGAAGCGGCCAGATATCCTCAAAGCATGGCAGTCAAAGTTCACTACATAACAGGAGGGTAGGATATTAGCCATCGGACGCACTTGTGTTGCGCACTCGTATAGAGGCTCTTGAAGTGAAGCATGAACATGTAAAGCAAGGAGCACAACCCCCCAAGCAGCGTTTGCAATGTAAACAAATCTCAATAACCTTCGTCGACGATGAACTTGCGGCCCTGCTTCCTTATAGTAAGAAGTTTGTTGTAACAATTGACTTCCACTTGCCATGCAGCTATCGTCATTAATCTCTTTTACGGGGTCTGAATCAGTGGGTACTACACACGAAAGATTATTCACGGCATTTGTTTGATTCGCCACTCTGTTCCCATTACTCGGACCACTGCGCAACAAATCTTTCACGTCCGAAGTACTGGAGACAAGTCCCAGAGAGAACACAACACGACTCAGGAGATCAGGCCAAGAAACTACGACAACCATCTGCGCTTCATTAAGCAAATGAGCTGCCCATACTTCGTCTCCTAGTATCGAGAAGTCGAATTCAAGTACCTCTGTGCGATACATATCCAGATAACTTAACACAATGATCAGAGGCAACCCCAAAGTTGACACGAGATTCAGAATAACGTCACATAGAATTACTGCAAATCGACGCCGAGCTTCGCTTTTCCAGAACCAGCGAGACTCGACGAAGATACACGACCAACAATTAATCGCGACCAAGCTCACGTAAAAGCGGTTAAGTAGTAATCTTGGCAGATATTTGCTCATTCGAACAGCTTGAATGGTCTGGAGCGATGTCTGCACTATCTCTCTACAAATAAAAACAATGTGGAAATATTTCCCGTTCACACCTAGAAGTCCTTGTCGACCAGCGATTTTTTGATATAACCATGAAATGCAAGTCGCAATTCCAGTACAACAACCACATCTTGTGATAGTTTTTCTTTCCTTGCGATTCGTGTCAGGAATTATTTCAGTTGAAGTCTGTTTCGAGGTCCAACGCGAGAATTGTATGTTGCAACGCACAAGTGAGCCGACGATCATCAATAGAGCGCATACGCCATGCATCAAAGCTAGCGCAAAGTACACGTATGATATGGTGAGGAAATTTTCTCGAGATAATCCGATCTGGTTTTGTTCGAGAGTATAACTCAGAAACGTATCACCGAAATTCCAATAGAACACCGTGTAGACTGTGCTGTAGCCACAGGCAACACAGTGCACACCGAGGATAACTATCCACCAGAAAATGAACCAGCGCCTCGGTAGCGGAACAAACCGCTGAGAACGTCGAGCTGATGGGGTCATGCTGCAGACGACTTACACCTCTATTTATACTTGGCTACATTTCGGGTACTGTTTACATGGCTACACTTCAGGTATTTAGTAGGTATACCCAAGTCATGGGTACATCTTGCGTAAGTATACACTAATTGGCTACATTACGTCGCGAACATAAAATCATTCTCGCATTTCCACGACTTCAAGCCGATGCAGGTGGAGCAGGACCCGAGCAGCCAATTCGTCGACTTCACGAACGCCACGGCGTCGGAACAGTTCGTCTCGGACGTGGAGCAAGCTCTGATCGGCTGGCATCTGGCCAGTAAGGGCCACGCGTCTCTCGATGCCTTAAATTCTCCCTCTAAAACAGAAAATGTGTGGACTAAGGAGCTGCAATTCCTTCTCCCTGGGCTCAAGACGCCCAAAAGTTACACTCTGTCGCTATTCGTAACCAGACACCAGAGTCAAGACACTGTCTCGACCAATCGAAAACCAAAAAGATGGCTACAAGGACTGGAACACTTCACTCCTACGATGTTATCCGTGGCCGACGCTACTAGAGACTTCCAATGGGGCCTTGAGGGGGAGAAAGAGACCCAGACAGAACAGAGACACAGTATTTCATTCTACGAAGACGCTGAGCCGGTTTTTAGTAGGAAAAATGTCCTTAAGAACGTGCAAAAGTGGTTCGGAGTGGACGAGTTTCTACTATTAAGCAGGTCTTGTCAAGAGAAGAAGAATGTGGATGTAGAAGAAGAAAAAGAAGAAGAGAAGGAGCAGAAAAGAGACGGAGAGATCATGGCAGATATTCACGTGGATCAGAACGAGGCAGGAATGCTCTTATCAGCTCTGACGATGGCGCTGAACAACTGTAACTGTACGATTCCAGCCTTTGTGCCGGTGTTCGAACCTTCTCGAGGATCGTGGATTGGATCAGCTGTGCCTGGAGCTACTGGAAACGTCTCCATGGCCTTTGAAACAGACTCTGTGCCGGAATTGAACCCCAACCAGAGCTGTATCAGTGGTCTATTGGACTTTTTCAAGGCCAAGTTGCAGTTATCACCTCAAGTTGAAGAAATGTGTCGCGTGGAAGCGGATGAATCGGGAGATTTAGCACTGGGAATGATGGTATCGGCTTCGTTTGGATACTCCTGGAATCGGAAAGATGATCCTCGAGAAGTAGTGAGTCTAGAGAACCCTCTCGCTTGGAGGACGTTAGAGGCGCAGCTTCCAATTCAAGAACAGCATCAGATCCGCCATATAACCAGCAGACTCTTTGGAGAGAACCATCCTACTCCGTTACTTGGAACATCAACTACTCCACTGGAAGGAATGGATCTCACCGTCAGTTGGTCACAGCTACGTGAAGGCACGTATGTAGACAATGTTGTGCACTCCACTCTGGACCCGAGTTCCGCTCCTCGCTGGATGTTGAACGTCCGCTTCCAAGAGTTACTGGCAGAGAATCAGAGAAAGCCTCAGTTACCACTAAGCAAGCAAATGGCCAATCTGGTTCAAGTTTATTCCAACTCGAGGGAGTTGAACAAGGATATTCTAGTGTCGGAGTTGGCGCCACCTATGCCAGTCACTCCGTCTCCGTCTAAACCACCTGCATCGACTACGTCATGTGCAAGTGAAGCAAGTGAGGATACACAGCCATCACCGAGTATTCCGGAGTCGATTCCTGCTGCTCGAGGCGCTGCTGTCGTCCTTGGTCATGCCATTTCAAGTTTAGTGTCGGCTGCTACGTGGAAAGGTTCGGATGTTGAGGACATTCGACGGATTGTCTCGGAGTTGTTTGATGAAGAGGGAGATGTCGATGAAAGTGGAGAAAGCAGTCGCAAAAACAACGCAGAGCCTTCATTGACGACGATGCCGAGTTCTATTGAGCACGGCGCTCCATTGGGAGAACTGGTGTCTATCTTGGCGACCAGGATGGCTCAATTACGTAATTTTGTTTTCGTCTGAGTACTATAATACTGAGCATGATCTAACAGTTTTGTGGTTGTTTATTGCGATAATTGTCAGACGGTATCAACTCGATGTCGTTGCTGTGGGTCGAGTTTGTGAAAGCGTTGCGAGAGCGATGGTTCCAACAGCAACTGCTTCCGTTCATGGTACGAAATGAAGTACTTTTGTGGTGATATGTGTACTAATCCGGTCTATCGTGTATATATTTGTAGAGTACTAGCACGAAAGAGGGTGATGAGGATCGCAATACGAGCTCGCACTCGTTGGATGCATTGTTCTTACTAGACGCGGATGCAATACAGCTGCCTCCACCAGATTTCCGTCACTGTCTTCTACACCAGAAGCTTCAGCTACTCAACTGCTGTATTCTCAGGTAAAGTGGTGAACGTGTGTTTCTATGCTTCACACTGTTTTACTGACATGTATTTTGTATGGTTCGTCGTGGTTTAGAGCGGCACAGGAATCGAAACCAACGTCAAACACTGGAGGGATCAAAGCAAGTCATACTGAACAAGTTAACTCTGCTGAGGAAGGTGAAGGAAGTCCGAGCGACGACGAGTTTTTCGACTCGATTGAACAGGAAAGCACTCCTCTACCGTCACCTTCTCGAGCTACAAGACTTCCAGAGGGAGTTCTTCGTGAAGTTCCGGGCGTTGTGTGTCTCCAGACGAACGAACCTCTAATGGAACCTGTGACCCAGAGTTCTGTCCCCATGACTGAAGACGTAGCAAAGCAGCAACAAGACCTTCTAACTCGCTTAGGCGTAAGCGTGGAATCCGATAAATTACGACAACAGATCCAGAGTACGACGCTGATCTCGGACATGCAGGCCTTTAAGGCTGCCAACCCGCGCTGCTGTCTGACCGATTTTATCCGCTGGTACTCGCCGAAGGACTGGATTCCATTCAAGACTCCGATTGATCCTGAGCAAACTGACTTAGCACAGGAAGGTCGAGGCGTTTGGTGGTTTGAAAAGCACGGGATGTTGTCAGAACGCATGCGTTTTGGACCCAGACACGAACATATCTGGCAACAAATGTGGGAAACCAGCGCGCCGATGCCCGCAAGTCGTCAGAAGCGCTTGTTTGATCCGGTTCAGGAGTCCGAGAAAGTGTACCATTACATGGAGACGCTCTCCCCACACGAGCTTTTCCACCAGATGTTAGCCGGTGCGATTTCGAGCAGTGTGTTCGCATTGGAGACAGCGCTCCCTGTGCGTGTATCATCCGATGTATTGCCTGTGGTTCACCAAGCGTTGCAGAACCTTCATTCGCTGGCGAACCGTGCTATTGCGTTGATGGATGACGCTCTAGCAGAGTCTCAAGTGGCCTTCCCAGCGGCTGGAAACAAGCAGCAACGGGAGCAGTCAACAGCAGCTGCACATCAAGTTCAACAGCTTCAAGTGGCATTCGAGATGGCGTTGGATGCGTGCTGGAAACTCGTACAATCACTGGAGTCAGTAGAAGCGATGGTGACGAAAGCGCTGGCTTTGTTTCACTACTTCCCAGTGTCAAAAGACGACAAATCGTCACTTGAGCTCGTGAATTTCCTGCTTTTGCCAGTTCTTTCGCATCGCCAACAAGTGGAAATCTCTAGACTTCTGGAACAAGAGAGCGTGAGGCAACAAGTAGCTGCTCTGGCACTCACTAACCCAACGCTGGCGGAAGCTGGGCCAATGCCGGTGCCAGTCCAGCGCGAGTATGTACTTCGATGTATCTGTCCAAGACCTTTTCTACGAGAATATTACGATGAATTAACGATTGATGAAGATGGCGAGACCAGTCTTTCCCAACCAGCTCAGGAACTGGAGGCCAGTCCACTTGTGGTTTGTCGGATGTATGCTGCTTTCAAGAAGAGCACAGTGCGATTCGCCCTGGTCCTAGCCGAATCAGAGTTTTAGGGATTCTCGTTGATTTGGTAAATGTCCCAGTAACTCGCTTGTTGTTGCACAGTTATCGTCTAGTACAGTATACTACTTTTTACTAAAGATGACCGCCCCTTTCAACAGGAAAAACTTTATTCATTACAACTAATGAGGCGTTCTGGAAACATGTTGCTTCGATGATTATCTTAACATGCATTTATCTGTGTATAGATATCGGACGAGGTTATCAGCTTGACATTCGAAAAATATCTACATACTTATTACATGTATATATATAGAAGTAGATATTTATATTTCGAAAGTCCAGCTGGTAAATATACATTTACGTTACTTTTTTAATTCACTTTTTTGTTAAGAAAAAGCTCATCACAACACTTTTATTTGACAAAACATTAAACAATGCTGCGTCTCGCTGGGGTAGTAAAGCGTCGTCGGTCCACCCTAGCGGCTATTAGACGCTCCGGTGGTTCATTTTCGCAGTTCAATCTTCATCTTTGCTGGTTTGGCTTTATCGCTCTCCATGGGTTTTGCTTGGCCTATTTCTTGACGATTGCGTGGTGTTATTGGAATCTGTCGGAGACTTTTTTAGACGTCTGGTTAAGCTACTACGACCTTGGCATAGGCACGAGACACTACCATACCATCGCCGTCGTTCACGGATGCTTAGCTGCACTTCATTTTGTCTACTTACTCTGGATGCTCGGCTGGTCTTTCAAGAAACGAAGACTTGTGGTTGCTGTTTTTAACGTGTTTAATCGATCCGGCAAGAATCTAAACGAGAAGCAACCTGGCATCATTTGTCGTCTCTACCGTGGTGCTCTCTCACGAATTGGAATCCTAGATGTTGACGGACCGTATTTCGATTTGGTGCTGCTGTTTCGAGAAATTGTGGAGACTGCACTACAAACCCAACAAGCATATCGTATGAGCCTGCTACTGCCGCGTGTAGAATTGAACCGGGGATATGCTGCGATGCTGGTAATTAACTGCTGGAGTACAGCTATCGTGCATTCGTTATATCATGTGGATGCCACAAAACGGAGGCTTTTAGCAGTCCTTGCCGACTGTGCACTTGACTTAGTAACATCAGTAGGAATTACGACAGTTTTACTGGCGATTTATTACCCAGATTTTGATGCTGACCTGACCAGCTTTCCTCCTCACAAATGGTACGAAGACGTCTGGATTGTTCATGTATTGAGCGAATTTCAGATTCTACTGGTAAGTTCGTGGGGAGATTTGACCTTACGGGTCATTTTTGCTCTAAGTATGATCAGCAACATGAACAATATGAAGAAACTACTGAGCATGAAAACGCCAAAAAGACGAAAGTTGAAGCTAAAGAATCAAGAGACGGTTATCATGCCACTAAACCCTTCTCTGTCTGATACGACGGATTCGCGTACACAGAGCAAACTGGACATTGTTGTGGCGTCGGAGTCTCGATTCACGCAAATTTTATTTTTCTTGTGGGGTCTTGCGATTCTTGTAGTCCATTTATACGCTGAATCCATTACTAAACTCCCGCAGTGCAAGATGCAAGTGAAGCCGTGGTTCACCACTGAATCATCGTGCTCTCTGCTGATGATTGACTGCTATGAATCGAAATTCAGTGGCAAAGCGAGCGACTTTACCACTCAATGGAGCAACTTTGATCGTAAAACTACAAACCGTGTGGTAATACGTCACTGTCCCAACCTCGAAGTACCGGATTTACTTACAGACTGCTCGCAACTAGGAGTGCTGAAGATCTACAACTCTACTATCACAATCTGGAATAAAAGCGCTGCTTTATCGCAATCCTACCACCCAAACCTCGCTGCGCTCTATCTCGTACGGGTACATTTGCCGAATGGTGAACTGTCCGCTGGCCTCCTCGACGACGATTTCCCACAAAATCTGAAAGATATCGAATTTTGTGCTACGAATTTACGCTCACTACCCGAAGATTTCGATTTGAAATGGCCAAAATTCGCCAGCATGTACTTGGAGAATGCGAGTTCACTGAAGTTCCAGCTTCGCTGGCAAGACTAGCTCCAGTCGATCTATCACTTGCTGGAAACCCAATCTCGACACTTCCTCCTTCGCTAATTGACGGAACTGTTGACTTTCTACACGTTGGTAGTACACTGATTTCCGAGCTACCTGCCAGCATTACGGGTGCGTCTAATTCTTTTGTACTCCGCGTGGACAACACGAATGTGTCGTTTTTCTGGGATTGGATCGACACGGTAGTGGAACACAGTGATATTGGGATAGTTGTTATACACCCGATACTTGCTACGAGCTCGCCCTACTGCGCGGATCTACAGCGGATATATGACAGAGAACAAGTCGATTTTTCCGTGCCGTGGAGCGACGGTCAATCTCGAATACTATCGAACGCAACAATGGAGAATTGGCCAATCCTTCAAGCTACGGTATCATGTGATTCGTGGTGGTCGAGTACCTGGTATCCCCTCGATTTTGAGGACGTATATAGTGGCATAAAGGACGATTAGCGCATTGCGACATCGTCGGAAAAGCGGAGTACTATATAGCCCGACCTTCTGAGCAATATGAAATACTGCTGTTTACTTACATTATGAAGTACTGTTGTTTTCTACTTAGTAATATACTGGAGTAATTTACTCAGGGTTGCTGGGCCTCCTATGTTTCTTACTAAAACAAATATTTATTATTAGCGCGACATGCTACTACGTAGTAGTAGCATGTCGCGCTAATAATAAATATACAATCTCTAAAAATTGTGTCAAGTCTTGAGTGGTTGTCTTTATTATTTTCAGGCGCGATGAGCCGGACAACTCCATGGTCCGCCTCTCGTGGTCCCCAGCATATTCGTCTTTCAACTTGTGGGTTTGCGTTCTGGTGGTTCGCCATTTTCACGGTCCATCTTGTTACATGTGTGTACAACATCGTGTACGCGAAATTGTACTGGGGGTTGGAGATAACCATGTTTTCCTTCTACCTGGCAATCAACGGGATCGGAATGTCTTACCAAGATTTTCACTCGATCGCGTACGTGTACATGGTTCTGGCTGCTATTCATGGCATGTGCGCACTGCTGATGATTGTTGCTTCGCTTTGGCACCGCAAGCTGGTATTCGTGCCGAAAAGGAGAAAAGCAAGCACAAAGTCGGCTAAAACAAACCGCAAAAACTTCAACGTTGTCGATAATACCAGCAACTCGCCAACTATTCAGCCACCGCATCCAGATCGAGTAATACGATTTCTTTCGGCAATGTACCATAGACTTGGAAGTCACCACGGTATACTTGGTGTAAAGGGGGAGCATTTCCACGTCGTTCTCATCTGCCGAGAGCTCGTTGAGCTGTCACTGCAGACAGCTCAGGCTATCCGAATGAGCAAATATCTGCCACGAATACTGTTAAATCGGTTTTATGTGAGTCTATTAGTGATCAACTGCTGGTCGTCCGTATTCGCTTATTCACGGTGGTTTTGGCGTGACGAAGCTTGTCGCCGGTTTGCAGCAATTGTCTGCGATTGTGTACTGAATCTGATGACTACACTTGGAGTTTCTCTCATCATAATGCTCAGTTATATAAACGAATTCGACATCCACAACTTCGACTGGAGGTTACTCGAAGACGACGCATGGGTTTCTCAAATGCTGAATGAAGCACGAATAGTTTTGGTAATGTCGTGGTCCGATCTAGCAACTCGCGCTTTTTTCTCGCTAAGTCTAGTCGCTACTACTGGGGACATGAAAGAATTACTACAAAGTAGTTCCAAACGACAAAATCGAGGCACGAATGCTGTCGGGCCTAGCGAAAGTCTTGCAAATATTCTGACGGGGCCAAATAGAGAACTCGTAGACCATCGAAACAACAGCAATGTTCGATTGGTAGTTCGACAATCGTCGTACAAATCTACAGGCTTGCGAACGCGGTTAGCCCGAATACTGCTTCAAGGAGTACACTACGCGTTTGGAGCATGGGGCATCGTTGTATTAATCTTGCACGTACATGCTTCCATGCAAACGCCGTTATTTGAATGCACCCCAAAAGTTTACCCTATGGCTGGCGCTTTGCCTTCGTGTTACACCGTGACTTTCGATTGTTACTGTATGGGAATTACTGGTTTAAAGAGTGACGTAAAGCGTGAATGGGAAGGATTCGACCGCATCACAGCAGTGAAGCTCCGTATTTTGCACTGTCAATCTTTAGAGGTACCGCATAGTTTCCAGGATTTTAGTGGACTGGAAGACGTTGTGGTATATAACTCGACTATTTTGGAATGGGGCGATACAGCCGCATTAACAAACACTAACCATCCAAAGATGAAGCAAATAACAATTCTCCGGGTAAACATGACGGGCGGATCTCTTCCTCTAGGTCTTCAATCACTCGATTTTCCAAAGTATCTTGGACAGATCAATTTTTCTGAAACAAACTTGGCAACTCTCCCCGATGATTTAGATGCCAAATGGCCACCAAACTCGGTCGTTCAGCTAGAGAACAGCCAATTGGTCGCGGTGCCATCAGGTCTTGTTCGTTTGCAGCCGTATTACCTCGCGTTAACAGGTAATCCGATCACTAGTGTCCCTCCCGAGCTCTTCGAAGGAAATATTCAGTACATTTTTCTTGGACGCACACAAGTGAGCGAATTACCAGAAAACGTGACGCCGATAAGTCTGACGACCTTAGAGATCACCTACACGAACATTTCTTATTTCCCGTCCTGGATTGATCCGCTTGTGGAAGTCGCGCTTGATACCTTTTTTTATCCTCTGATAGTAGGAGGTGGATCTACTTACTGCTCTGAGGTGGGGAAAATCATGAGTGGGGTTACCACAAATTTCAATTTATCATTTCGCTCTGATTATTCTTCACTGCTGATGAACGCAAGTGAACCAAATTGGGAGTTGCTGAATCTGGCAGTTGACTGCTCGCCGCCACTTTGGAAAACCCAGTTTTCAACGGATTACTTCGATGCAACGTATGGGCTAGAGACGTAGCAAAACGGAGGGCATTTACTGTAACTGAGGGGTTGAACTTGAAGTGCAAACAGCAAATCGACTAAAACTCGCCTGTACGTTCTCAGCACAACCCAGGGATCAAGGAAAACCAAGTTGACGGGTTCCTGTGGCTAGTTCTTCACCGAGCCCAGAGCTTGCGCATATTACACTATTACTTTGGAATATTTCATAATGTCATTGGAAGACAATCACTATCTCGGGCTGGAGAGGCTGCTACTGCTTCCATTTTCGATGTCAAATGTTCCGTCGATGCCCTCGCCGTCATGGCCACTCGTCAAGGGGATCCATTCGTCGACAGATTCCCCCATCTCACCAGGCTCCCACCCTACAGAACCGGATATCGTAGGAAACATTTTGCATGCAGTCTTACCGTAAACTCAAGGACTTTGACTCGAAGTGTTGAGGAGTGTTGCTTGAAGAGAGTTGTAGCTCTGCTGCACAGCACGGTAAGGCAACGCCCGCTGACAAAACCGAATTGCGGATGCGTTCGTGTTTCGACAAAGGTGGGCGTGTTGAGCATCATTTGCTTTGTGGTCGTCTGCATTTCCACCAGTTCCGACTTATTATCAGGGCATCGATTTAACAGCGTCGTGAAGCCATAAGCCAGTGCATGGAACAGTACATGCATGTGCATTTACAGATATATCGGCAGCATGTTCAAACCGCGAGATCACTCATTCACGGGAATTTTAGCCTATTTTGTGCTGGTGCCTGTGCTGTAGCGATATCGATGTCAAGAAGGTCTCGGTGACACTCACCAGAGCGATGCAAAGAGCACGCTCGCGCTGGAGCGACGTCAGATAGTGAACGAGGTGAACGGAGCCCAGCAAGCCCCAATCAAATGGCGTTGACGCGCTACGTCGGGAGTCTCACTCTGAGGTCGCCATTCGTCGACAGATACCGGCGGGAGATGGGCACATTGCTACAAAAACGAGCTCGAAATGCATTCCACTTTTTAATGTCCACAAATAAGAGTCAGAACTCAGTACTCTGAATTTTCAAACATTTACAACATTTCAACGTTTTCAAATTTGCAGTTTTCAAGAAGCAATTTTCATAATGGAAAAGACTTATGGAACGAGGACATTGTAGAAGTCGACATCTTTTTTTTACTGCCCTGCGATGAAGATCGTCGCGTAGTATCATGTGGTCTGAATTAATCTCATCGAGAGCATTACAACAGGGTATTATCTAATCAAAAAGGGCGTTATATCTGAATGGCGTCTATTTTATCACGAGCGTCACCTGCTTTGAGAGTTCGACATCTAAAGCATCAGCAGGCTCCATAGCTGCAACGTTGTGATGGTTTTGAAGAAGACTGTAAAGGGTTCTGAGGCAAGTTGTCGCTGCATTAAAGTCAGTTTTGCTGGGTCGTGTTGTTTTGCGTTTGTTTTCTTTTGATGAGCCTTGATTTTAATCTAAAAGCGAGTTTTAAAACTGGCTTTTAGAATGTGTGAAACGCCACATTTAGGCCCAACATTTAAGCCACATTTAACAAAAAGTGGTATTATTTCGGTGATGGGCACGTCATCAGTTTGATGTGATCCTTGATGTCTGGCCAAACAGAGCCATGTCAGTCTCCGATGCGCAAATGTATCGACCATTTTCAAGCGGAACCCACACCATGGACTCCTCCGTTCATTTTGCAAACCACCCGCCATCTCCCACATGAGCCAAGCTTCAACCAGCGGTCTGGGCTTCAATATCCCTCTCACGGCCATTCACGGACGTGGGGACAGCTCACCCTCATCCAAGAGTCAAATGTTGACACCCCCTCCGTCTAACGATCTGGACTCGGCCTCGCCCCGCACAGATGTGAGTTGGCCCTCGGACGAGGAACCCAACGACCTGCTGCTGGAGAAGCCCAAGCCAACCAAGAAACGCTCAAACTCGAGCACGTTCTCGACCGAGGGCATGAGTGCTGAGGCCATCAAGCAGCACAAAGCTCAACGTCGACGAGAACAAGTGCGAGCTGCTTCACGACGATGTCGCGATCGCCAACGCAAAGAGACTGAGGACCTACGCACCAAAGTCTTCCAATTGGAAGAGTTTATCGCTCATACTAGACAAGCCCACGAGTGGGAAATGAGGCAACAGCACGACCGAATTCAAATGTTGCAACGTGAGAACGAGTTGCTGACTCAACAACTTGCAGCCGCGACTGTAGTTACCGACATTGAACCGGTACCGCTGGACAAGCTGGACGATACTCCACTACCCGATGATCTTGTGCACTGTATTAGTGACGATACACCACGTCAGTGGAGTGAGGAGCTGGTGTATCACGCAGTGGAGGACACTACTGGACAACTGGTGACAATGCTGGAGTCAGAGGTGGAGCCTGTCAAGTCTCCCGTAATTTTTGGATGGCAATTCGATTTTTGGTGTCAAGGCGACAAATATTACGGTCGTAACCGTAAATTCTTCCCTGGTGTCACTGCATTGGAACTGGGTAAACGTATGCAGATGGTGGACCCACAGCGATACATGGATACGTTTCCCGAGGTCAAGAAGATGGAAATTCTCCAAGTATTTGATGAAAATACATTAGTGATGAGGTTAGTGAAGGCGTTGCCTGGCAAAACCTTCACTCAAGCAGTGAACGCTCGGTTCTTGGCCGCCGCCACACCGCCTACCGGTTCTACCAGCCGCTGGGTGTATGCCGACCGCACGATTGATGAGCCGACGGACGGGGAGTATGCACTGGAGAATGAGTGCAATGGCTATGTGTTTGAGGACACGACGCAAGAATTGAATGATGGTACGCGTGTCCAGGGCTGCCTGGTTCAAGGAGTTGGCGAGTTCGAAAGCGGCGGACTGGGATGCAGTGAGCTGCTCGAAGAACTGGCCAAGGCGTTCTCCTCGGTAGTTATTCGATGGGAAAGTCTCTTTATCAACGACTTTATCCCGGATGATGCCGACGAGTTCGCCGATATGGTCCTAGATCTTTGAGGAGTTGTGGTGTTCATGTACGATCGATGCAGTATATTTGTAATTCACGTAATTTATCTTGGGCTCGTTGTGTGTCATGTAGTTGTACCAAACAAGCTTTTGTAACCTGTGTTTGAAGTAGATTTCAATAGAAATTGTTCTTGCGATGATACCGCAGAAACCAAAAGGAAGTTAGCGATAAACGTTGTAAAATAACGTGTGTTGTTGAACGAATTCTATTATACTTCATACGTAGCTCCCACAAATCGCGATTTGCAGAGGACTCAAACTGAGCATTAGCTTTCTCCACGACAAATGCAATAAACTACACAGACTTTACTCTTTCGATTAGCTACACAAGCTCCCAAACACTGTTCAAATTCCTCATAAGTGAGTTTGTTTCCCCTATTAGATTGTTTCCATTTGTACGAATCCCACGATATCCTTTCCGTTCGATGTCAGCATTATCACCTCATTCTAGCAACTGCAAGGACTAAAAGGACTCTCTGCCCTGGACTACTTCAGTGGCATCGGCTAGTCGTCAGCATTGAATAAGCACGCTGTCTTCCTCGTGTCATTCTCTCGAGAATCGAAATCGTTTCAGCAACTCGCTTTCGTACACAGTGTACGGTACAGTATCCTAATCTTCCTTTTACATATCCAACAGAATTGCTCTCGCCCTCATGGTGCCTAAGTTTATTGTCTGGTTAGCGCATTAGGTTCTCAACATCACATCACGTTCTTAACAAAACCCAGTGGGATCTACCTACTGTACTACAGTCTGTAGATCCCATAGCATCGTGATGACGCTTGTACAGATTTCAGCTGGTGCCACGAGTTCGCCGCTTGTGTACATGCATTTAGATTCCCAAGTTCTCCGGGATAGATGTAGACGTTGTCAAGCACGCCGCCTACCTCATCTCGAAGAAGCAGATCTTTCAAAACTCCCTATACCGATCAGGTATCGCACAAAAACCTACTTCATAACATATTCTCTCAATACATTATACTCCAAACGAAGCGTTTTCAATGCAAAAGCAAATCAATAAAACTGTATTATCACGTTGCCCTGTCTAATTCGCACACTGATTTTCTATCTTTTTCCACAGGACTCACGGCACTGCGACACAGTTTCACACATATCTCCAGAGCGGACAGCCGAGCCAGGTGCCGGGGGCGGAACGAGACGACACAAGTCGAATTGCACGACCACACACGTGAGCGATGGAGCAGCAGCAGATCGCGCAGTCGGCGGTGTCTTTGGCTGTAGACGTGAAGGCGGAGGAGACCCAGGCCGAGCCAGAGCCGCAGCTTGACGCAGCTGTGGGGAGCCCCACGGACGACGCGAATAAGAGCAAGAAGAAGAAGAAAAAGAAGAAGAAGAACAGGCGAAAAAGCTTGGAGAAGGTGGAGGTGGAGGAGCTCAAGGCAGACAAGTCGGAGCCCGAAGAGGAAGAAATGACGAACCAGGAAGAGGCTGCTATTGAGGAGAGTGCTGTAGTGGAAGTGGCTTCAGTGGCCTCGGAGACTACTGTGACTAACCAAACAACAGTGGAGAGTACTGTCACTATGGAGACCACAATGGAGAGTACCGTGACGGAGGCGAGCGCCGAAATGGAGGAGGCTTCTAATGAGAAGGAAACTGTACAGACGGAGCACAATGAGGACTCAAACCAGAAGAAGGAGAGTGCCATGACGGATACTGTAGCTGAGGAGACTCTAGTGGAGAATACCGTCACCGAGGAGACTACAGTGGAGAGTACCGTGGCGACAGATAGAATCGAGACTGAGCAGGCTTCTATTGAGAAGGAAACTGTGGAAATTGAGCACCATGCGGACTCGGATCAGAAGCAGGAGACTACAGCTAGTGACGACGAGTTGGCTCCTCCGAATCTTGAGCGGACGTCGTCCTTGGATACACTCAAGGCGACGGGAACGAAAGCTGTTGGCTCACTGTTCTCAAGGTTCAAAGTGGGTCGTAAGAAGCCGCTTCCAAGTCGCACCGACTCGGCCGCTCAGTTGGAGTTGGCAGTTCCGTCTCCAGTGAAGACGGCGGTCAAGAAGCTGGAAATTCCCGAGGAGAAGAACCTGGACGACCTGCCCATGCGTACAAAGAGGGATTTCTTCGGAGAGGGTGAGCAGAGTATCCACGTGAGTGCTGAGAAGGAGAAATACGATACACTGGAGAAGCAGAGGAAGACGGAGAAAGAAGCGGAAGAGGCTGCAATCGCAGCCCGACGCACTCCACCGTCAAGTTCGGGGTCAAATTCAGAGGTTCAAGCTCAACTCGAAGCGGCCAAGGAACAGATTCAAGCTACTAGCTCGATGGTAGAGGAAACTACAGTGACTGCAGAGACAGAGAGTACTGTGGTTATCGACAACACTGCGGAGGGAGTGACGGACGAAGTGGCCACTTCAACGAGTGAAGGTACAGTTGAAGAAGAGGTTAAATCTGACGATGTCCTCATTCCTGCATCAATGGACAAAGACGAATCTACTTTTGGAGAGGAAGCACCAGTCACGCTGGAAACTACTGATACTATTGAGCAGGAGGCCACTACAGAGGTGGAACATGGTATCATGGCTTCAGTAACTGAGACCGCTGTGAACACCACGACGGAAGTAATGCAATACAGCACCGATGACATGTCGAAGTCTACATCACAGAAGCTTGAGCTTGACCTCGAACCGCGTACTGCAGCTCAGAGCGACGTAGTTTCGACAGAAAATACTGAAGTATTGTCCGTGAAGATTACGCCGCCAACATCCGAGCTTCCTGCGGATACTACGCCACCAGCAGAGCCTGAGAAAATGTCGCCTGTCAAGAGTCTTGCCAGTCGCTTTGAAGGCAAACGTGAGCAATCTTTAGACAGTCTGAAGTTCCGCACTGTACGCGAGTTTTTCCCTACGGAGCGCAGCATCCGCGTCGGTGCAGAGAAGCAGAAGTACGAAGCACAAGCGCAGCAGCAGCAACTGAAGGCGAAGGCAGAAGAAGAAGCCAAATCCAAGTACAAAGCCAGTGTCAAGTCTCCCGTCAAGGAAGCTGCGGCATCCGAACTTAAGACGTCAGAGTCTGTAGCACCAGCTACTGCTACTGAGACCGATGGATTCACTACTCCCGATGGAGCTTCCAGTAGGAAAAAGATGAGCTTTGATGAAGGCTATTCGTCTGCCAACTCCCCCAGCAAGTTCAGTGACGAGGCTCTAACTCCAGTCAAGAGCATTGCCAGTCGCTTTGAAGGCAAACGCGAGCAATCGCTCGACAGTCTAAAATTCCGCACAGTTCGCGAGTTCTTCCCCGAGGAGCGCAGTGTCCGCGTCGGCTCGGAGAAGCAGAAGTTCGAAGCCCAAGCGCAGCAGGATAACTCTCTCGATAAGCTCAAGTTCCGTACTGTCCGCGAGTTTTTTCCCGAGGAAGGCAAGCGGAGTGTTCACGTGGGCGCTGAAAAGGCAAAGTTTGAGGCGATTACAAAGCAACAGGAGGAAGCGAAGGCCGCAGAGTTGAAGTTGAAGCACGCTGCACCTCAGAAGAGTGACAGTACGGAGGTTTCGAGTGTTGAAGCAACGATCGATACGTCTTCGGATCTTGGCAAGGCTCAAGATGAGGTGGTAACAAGTGCTGCTGCTACATCAGAATTGAAAGATGAGGATGCCAGCGCGGTCGAAAATACTGTTGCAGTTGAAGCTGACGAGAGTTTAACGACGACTATTGTGGAAGAAACTTCGGCGGAGGAAGAGATTGGTAATGCCTCGCCTTCTGTAGATGCTGACGCTGCTGTTATCAAGAACGAGGATACATCTGCTCAGTCTACTGAGAGCCAAGTGGACGATGCCAAGAGTACTGACCTGGTTTCTCCAGTAACCAGCGAAGAGATCCCTATGAGCGAGGTGATCGAGGGTCAGCAGCCAGTCAAGGATACTGAAGTGTCTGTCGCGGTTGGTAGTGATTATATCGCTGCGAGTGATGAGGTTGAGATGGAGCAGCCTGATGAACCCCAGATGTCTATTGTGGAAGCTGAAGTGACGAAGGAGGAAGATGTTGTGGATATTGAAGATACTACAAACCAAGACGAACCTGCAGATGCTGATATTCCTGAAGAACCTGTTTCCAACGGCCAGATCAGCGCAGATATCAAGCAGACTGAGACCCAAGAATCAGCCAACGACGTGGTTATCGATGATCTAGCAGAGTCAAGCGTCGAAGCATCCAGTGCACTTGTCAACGAGGTCACTGTGGAGCCTGAAAAGCCCCAAGAACCGGTCGGGACTGTGGCAGAAGACACGACTACTGAGCTGGTTGAGTTGGATCTGGGCGAGCAGGTCCAAGACGATCATACCATTGATTCGTCGGCCACTGCTACAATCGAAAGCGCTACTACCATCACCGAAGCCGATGTTTTGGACGTTCAGCAACCCACTGAAGCACAAGAAGCAGCGCCAGAAAATCAGCCGGAGGTAGAGAAAAGCGCTTCAAGTGGTGACAATGGACTGGTTGAGTTGGATCTCGGAGAACCAGTGGTTGAACCTCCGAGCGTACACTCGAACCAAGGACCCAATTCGAGACGTGCTATGCTCACTACGGAGCGATCGTTTGTGATGGAGAAGGATGACACCATCGAGATGGAGGACACGGTAGTTGTTGGCGAACGCCCCATGACAGACGGAGAGGACGAGTTTGAGCCTCTATCACCGACAAAAAGACGCCCAGCGCACGAGTTGTATGCTGGAATATCATCAAAGAAGGAGCTGAAGAAGAAGAACTCGACCCCGAAGTTGACTCGCAAGGTTTCTGTTGGTTCAGTGGGCTCTGCCAAGTCTTCCTCGTCTAAAACTACAGTTCCCGTGCCGATGAAGCGTGCATCAATCACTGCTCCAACTGCGTCGTACAAGGCCAAGAAGGCAGCAGAAACAGAGGAGCACAAGGCATCGCAGTTGAAGAAACAGGGCTCAGCATCTAAACTCAAAGCATCGTCTCCTACCGTGCCGATCCCAATGAAGCGAGCGTCTATCACAGCCCCCACTGCGTCGTACAAGGCGAGAAAAGCTGCAGAAGAAGAAGCGCATCGACCATCTCCTCAGCCAAAGAAGTCGAAGAAGAAGGGCGAGGTGAGTGAGACCGGATTCATTAAACCTCCGCCAGCAGCTCCTACTGTTCCTGTCCCCATGAGGAGAGCGTCTATCACCGCACCGACTGCTTCATGGCAAGCCAGGAACGTCTCTGATCAGTCTACTACCGACACTGCTCCAAAGATCCACGCAAAGCCTTCGCCTACTGTTCCTGTAGCTCCAAGGCGTGCATCGATCATGGCACCAACCGCCTCATTCAAGGCTAAGAAGACAACAGAGGAAGTCGAAGCCGCAGCTCCAGCTCGGAATAAACGGTACTCGAACGTCAAGAGTAAGGTCCTTGAAGGTATCCAGACTGGAACGACCCACACTGTGACCCACAAAAAGATCACGAAGGAGGAGTTTATCGCTGCTGAACGTCGCAAAAGTCTGGGATCTGCTGGTGTACGCAGCGTATTGGACGCTGTGGATCGCCGAGCGTCACTCACTGCTCGAGCGACAATCGATGGCCCCCCTGAGCCTTTTATCCGCTCAGCTGTCTCACGTAAGAAACTGAACTCTACTATGCCTCGGTACTTGAACTACGAGAATGCACCGGGATACGCTGAGCGTGCTCGAAAGCAGTACGAGCGTCGTAAACGACTGGAAGAGGAGAATGCTGCCAAGTCCGAGAAGCGTCAACGAGAGTTGCGAACTTTTTTCAACGAGCGCCAACAGAAGTCGATGATGTCGAGTGCAGAGGAAGTTCGTCGTGGCTTGGAGGCTCACGAGTTCACGCAGTTGGTGAAGGAGAGCGAACTGGAAGCGCAAAAGGCTTTGAGGAGAGACAAGCAGCGCATGCGCTCTACCCGCAGCCACAACCGAGCTCCGTCGACTACTTCTGCCACATCGTCGAGTGGTGTAGCGTCTCGTACATCGAAGAAATCGACCGTGTCATCTGCGTCTGTAGAAGAGAAGGTTGTGGCGGTTCCTGAGCTGGAATCGGTTGTAATTGAGGCTGAGGAAGTGGAGACAACGGAGACCATCGAAGTGACAAAGGAGATTGTTACAGAGCAGGAAAGCGTCGTTGAGACGGTGCAAGTTCAAGAGCAGACCATTGCAGTTGTGGACGAAGACCCGGAGTTGAACCACGTGGCCAAGAAGATCGACTTTGATGAAGCGAGCAGCGACAGTGAGAGGGATGTGGCGAACGAGTAGGCTAGCAGAGAAACGGTAGGACTGTTTGCCCTGGGTTTGATGTGTAGTGATGCGTGATGCGTAATGTTAGTCAGCTAAGCTCTTTCTTAATCTACACAAAAACCTAAACTCCTACATGCACTTCAATAGTGTGGTAGAATTTTACAACAGTAGCATGAAAAGTTTAAGAGAACTCTTTCATTCTTGAATTTGCAATCAGGCAATGACAGCGCGGCTAGTGTGGTTCCAATTTGTTGACCGAGAAGGTGTGACGATGACTAGGGTGGACTATGTGCTAGAAACAAATGCGGTAGCCTTTTTCCTGGATGCAGCCTACTCTAAAGTGAAAGCCCAGTGCTGTTGGATCCCAGAACTCATCCCCGCAGACCTCAGAGCGTTCACCAACGAGGACGTGCGCACAAGACAGCAGCCGTTGGATATGGAGGAAGATTTGGCCTGCTATGGAATTGGCACTGCCAGTTCTGTTGTTGTGGAAGTGCCAAAGATCTGGATTCAGTTGGTGGCAACCTACTCTGCCACTGCCTTCGAAGGTACCCGTGCTGCTTGGCTCCCTCTACGTGAAGAGTGCACCGTTGAGCAGCTAAAGCATGCCGTAAAAAGGGAATACCAGGACTCTTACATGAAAGGTATACTTGTGAGCGAACTCGGCATCTACAAAGACAGCACCAAGATGCCCCCTCTTGCTGAAAAGCAAAATTGGGATCAGGTGGTCAACAAGCGAACAGTCCAATTTTGGTGGTAATGCCACGATCGCCGCGAATCATCAGCACGGATCCGAGAGAAGCTGATATAGTCGAGAAGTGCGGGGTGTATTAGCAAGCAGTCAGGGACGGGCACAGAGGCTGTGCTGGCTGCGATCGACAAAGTGGTATATTCAAAAGAGGCTGATCGATTTATGGTGTTGGAAACTCTTCGGGCACGGGCAAAACGCAGATGGCCTTCAATTTACAGGCGAGCGGCTCTTGTGGTGTATTCTACTTGCCGTGCACCGGTCCTGGAGAGAGCGAAGTGCACAATGCGTTCAGTTCGCGAACGGCAGCGTTTATCGGTTGCGTCGACGAAGATGTAAAAAAAAAACTGGAACAAGGATCTGTGTTTGATTTCTACATGGAACCAAATCTCCAACTGTACAGATTCATCGTCGCAGCACTTAGCGGCGAAGGACGTTTCCATGGCCAGGCCTCTCGTATCGATGTGGGAAATGTGCTTCAAAAAGAAATAAACCCTTGGTGTTTTTCCTCGACGCGTTTCTTCGCTTAAATCCTACAGTGGCGACGAACGCAAGGCCATTGAAAAGAGACTGCGGTCAATGAGGAATGTGTCCCGATCCTTTCGTATACCTATCATCATCAGTGATACTAACGGGACTGCACGAGGTTTCCTGTAGGTAAGCGGTAGTTCTCGACAAGTGTCGAGGATGTGATGGTACCGTCACTTCCTTCAACCATTGTAATTGACGACGAGGAAGCCAACATGCGATGGGATTACTGGTAGCATACTCGCGTCGATACCAAGCCAACTGAAGTGGATTCTTCAACACAGTCGGATGTTGTTTGCGAACTTATCCCGGCAGTACATGAGCGAGAACGGGCATTTCGAATCTACTCCAGCGAGCAGAATTGAATACTTAACTGGAATGACTGCAAGATTATCAACTGTGATTCGGGATTTGAAGGTACAACAACGGCCAAATGAATTCAACCTGAGTCAAGCATCCATGCTTACTGGCTCCAGTTTTCGCGCGTGAAGGATACTCTTAACCTTATCGACGGCCACTTTGGCTGCCTTGAGGATTCTGAATCGTTTGACCTCTACCTAGGTTGGAGTGGTCTGCTGAAAGGCAGCGAGAAGTGGGGGTACATCGGTAGATTCCAACGAATGGAGAATGATATTTTGCTGTATATGACTCTGATGGGAGATCATAAACTGGAACAGAGCACACTACGGCCATTGCATGCCCCAGTGCACATGGTGCTGAAAGATACGTTTTTCAGGGATGGAAGTATCATTAATTCTGTAACCAAGTCCAATAATGGTCCGAATCTGGAAACCCTTCTGGCTGGTGCGGTCGTTCTTGCTAGTCATCGTGGCCAGTTTGGTGGAGCTAAATTCCCTGAATTCTTAGGTAGACTGCTGTATGAGTTGGGTGTGGTTGGAGAGATCGATCGGGTGGTGAATATTCCGTCAAATCACGACAAGGACAACGTTGTTATTCCGTTTCTATCGCCAACAAACATGGAATGGCCAAACATTTGTTGCAGACATGGAATGGCGATGGTGCCCGATTCGCCAGCATGCATCGTCGCCCGAGTTTCGACAATATCGATTTTAGTTTTTTCTCGAGCGATGAGAATGAGCGATGTGTTCTTTCTGGTGTGTGCGTAGATCCAGTGCTGAATACCTTGAAAGCATTCAAGGCTGTCTTAACGAGTATCCATGAGGATGCACTAATTCACATAGTGGTTGTAAGGACAGGTTCAGAATCACAGCAGAAACGCAAGCGCAGCGATGATAACGAGTCTCTGTCGGATTTTCTGGTGAGAACGAATCTGCAATTTTCTGACTTTTATCGCATTTCGAAAAATGGCGTGTTGATGGAATTCAAGGAGCTCATGGAAGCTAAATCCCCATCAGCAGTGGCGTCTCCAGTAAAGAGATAGAAGGAAGGGGTGGTAGTGAGCTAATTATCTTTATTGAGATTGGGGATGAACTCAACTGCGATTGAGAACATGAACCCCAAGAGCAGAAACTGAACAACGAAGCCACAAAAATTACCATTAAGCTGGGCTTAAGCTTTACTTGCAATAGGAGGTTGAATATACTTAGTTTTGGTCGAGCTGGAGCTTTGCAAAACTATGTTGATCCACTATTCTTGATCTTTCAACGGACGGGACGTCGCTGGGTTGAGTTTTCTACCTTGACCATGGGCAATCGGTTGAGCTCAATCGTCGACTCCGTCCTCTACTATCTGGATGATCTCTCTGACAAGCTGCCACTACGCTCGTTGCTGAAATGGCGTTCAGATTCGAAGAAGCAGCTCTTCCAAGAGAAACTTCAGCCTCACATGGCTGCAGGAGTTCGACACAAGTCCGTTGTGCGTGTGACAAGTTTAGAGGCTACTGGACCTAACGATATCCCACGTATCTTCACTACTCCTCGCTCCCTGAATGTTGAGTGGAATCTCTGCGATAAAGTGGACCCTGCAAGACGCGTAGATGTCGTAAGTGATCATAAACTCCTTCGTAAGCGACGCAAAGGTCTGTTTGTGGACAAGAATACTCGCCTGCAAGTACATTGTGACACCAGAACGTTGGCTCAGAACGAACTGGAGATCATGTGCTACATCGCTAACTACTGCGAGACATACAAGCAACCAATCCACCGCAATATCGTACACTTACTTGGATACTATTCCGCCAATGATACTCTTCATGAGATCATTGAGTTCTGCGAGCTTGGATCTCTCATGAACGCCTACATTGAGAGTCCACAAGAAGGTTTACGTCTGACCTTCTCACCTTCAGAAGGAGAAGTGTGCGACGCGATGTTCCAGATCTGCTCAGGTCTTCACTTCCTGCACGAAAATGGCGTTGCACATGGCAATCTTGGACTCGAAAATATCTTCGTCACTAGTGAGAATTTCTTGAAAATCGGAGACTTCGAACATTCAGTCTTCGTGGGATCTGATAACCAGCACCAGTCGCTTTCAAAGCTACCTCCGCCAGCTCTGAAAACATATATCGCGCCAGAGATCGAAGCGTTCAAACCAGGAGAACGCCTAGATCTTCAGAAAGCGGATGTTTGGTCTATGGGGATAATCTTCATTTTACTACTCACTAAGAAGCCACTGTTTGATGCTGCTAGATCAGATGATAACGGGTTTCAAATGTTCTGTCGTGTGGGGTTGCGTTCCTACTTGAAGGTCATGTATCTGGAGCAGTCGGCGATCTGTAAACTATCTGATGAGCTTCTGGAGTTCGCGGAAGGACTTCTCAACTTAAACCCGAGTTTACGATTCACTATGCGCGAGGCACTGAACGCCAAGTGGTTAAAGAACGAGAAAAGCTCTGGAAGACTTCTCGTACGCGCCGACAGCTTCGCAGTCGCTTCATTTCATGCCGATGCCGTGGCTGCGCACTTAGTTCGACAAGACACTCGTAAAAAGAGTGAATAGAGCATAACGTCAATGAAAATCTCCGTGTCCGACTCAAATGTTTGTCCCCCGCCTCCACCAACACTTCCTCGTCTTAAGAGATCCAGCAAATAAGCGTTAGCTTGCTGTACTTCATCCAGATACTTTTCGGTTCTTGTGGCCGCATTTGAGTTTAAAACCTGGCCAGTACTTAAGCTGTGTCCAACTGCTGTACCCACACGAAGATGTGCTTTATCCTTAGACTAGCTCGACATAGCACGTTCGATGCGCTTGATCATTTCACTGATCCCGCCAAACCAGTTAGGATAGCATCTATCGCAGTATCTTACGAGATCATTCCAGCTTTGGATTAGTGGTTCAAGCTCCTGAGAGAATTCCGACTTGGCTGCTTCCTCGTTCGTCGCGTTCAAAATCGTTACAGTCGTTGTGATCCAGGAATGATTGAAGCTCCTGCTCTCGTAGACTGTAATGAGAGACACCATGAAGCTGGTGGCCTCACAGAATGCAGTCGCCAGTTGCTCTTTCATTTTCCTCCTGACCAGACGAGTGCCCAGATCTAGACGGGCTTGGCCAAAACAAGGTCTCAGAATATCGGACCATTTTGCAATCATAAGTTCTTGATCCTTGTTCAAGCGAGAGAGTGGAGTACCAGCTAACATCTCTCTCTCTCTCTCTCTCTCTCTCTCTCTCTCTCCTCTCTCTCTCTCTCTCTCTCTCTCTCTCCTCTCTCTCTCTCTCTCTCTCTCTCTCTCTCGATTCGTGCTTCTTTGGCAGCGGAAATAAATTTTTTGAGGTTTTAGATCACGGGTACCATAACACCGGAGGGCACTGCGTTTGGTACAGAAGTCGCAGGAGTAATGCTTGTCGTTTGGGTATGCTGTTGATCAGCAGCACGTATCTGGTGCTGAGACTCGAGACTCGCCTCGTAATCGTCCAGTATCTTTTTCCCAGCATCACCAACTATCTGACACGAGCTCCGGTTACCATAATATTAAAATATATTACTTCGATACAATCATTAACATATATAAAAAAACGTACTCGTGCAGGACTGCTGGTAATCTACCAGAAAATCGAGCCTCAAATTCTCGATAATGGCTACTGACCAAAAGAGCATCAACGTTTGAGCACTTCGCGTCCGTTCTCCATAGAATCTGCATCCAATCTGCCAATTTGTTCCCAATATCACTGAAGCGCACCCATTCAGAGCCCATCCGTGGTTCTTCTCCTAGAACACCCTGTCTAAGCTGATAATCCGCACAATCGCAGATAAATTTTCGCAACAGCGTCGCAGTAGTTTATTCGCTTGAACTCCGCGGTGACGCTCAATCAAAACCACGTAATTTGGCATATCTTCCAACGCATCGCAGTTTTCACGACTGTAGTACTCCACAAGATCGTTCCGACATTTTCTCACTGGGGCTAAAAACATTTTTGCTACTGTTGAGTATCTTGCAGCATTTTCAATATCAGTGAGGTCCTGCATCAGCCATGATGGTTTCTGAGAAATCGCTTGATATGACGTAAGGACAGAGACTGCAAATGTCGTGGCTTTTAGAAACGCCAGAGCCACATCCTCCTCTACTTTTCCTTTGCTCAAAAGATCCAGAAACTATCGGTTGGCATCCAGTCCATTCATCCCCACAATCCTCCTACAGGTTTCAACTGTATCAACATCCTCAAGGTCGATGTCCATTTTATCCGCGTTCTTCGCCGCTGTTGTGTGTTTTTCCAGACTCGATCATTTTTCTGACTGCTCGTTATCGATCATTTTCTCATTCTTTTCTTTGCCAAGCGAAAATTCAGTTTTCTCATCGAAGTCCTCCTTTCCATTTTCCAAATTTGATGGGGTTTCGTCGTCAACATTTTTTTAAAATAAATATACGTTCTACCAAATTATTTAATAATTTTAAAAAGGTTGGTAAAGCATCCACCTTGTGTTCGCTCGAGCTCTTTGAGAGGCGGCACTTACCAGTAATTGCGTTGTTACACTCTGCAGGCCCGTTTGCGCTCTCTCCACCCTCTCGATGAGCCTCAAGATCTCGTTTTCATCTGCTTCATCAAGCCCCGTTGGTCTTTTCGCGTGGTTTGATGCATCGGCTAGCCTCACGTGCAGCTGTACGACCTGCGTGGCCCGCAAGAGTTACTGCTCCACCCACGTCCTGCAGCTTGGCCACGAGCGGTATCCGGAACGAGAAGTGCAATTGCGGCATTTGATTGGCTCGTGAAATATTTTACTGTCTTTTATTACTGAATGAAACAGTAAATTCAAGGCAACAACAAAAATTTGATATAATACCATCACTATAAAGTGAAAATGAACGAAATATCCACGATAACTGTCTAAAACAATACGTAGAAGACACTATAAACGCTCCATACGAAACATACTTTCTCCACGAGGTCCTCACAACTGATCCTTCACTAAAATTTTACAATTATTTCTTGAGACTGTTGATACCTTTCACCGCGATGAAGATGGTCGCAGCAAGAAACACCGCCGGGGTTAAGACGAACATCAGGAACTCCCAGAGAAGCGAATTGTTTCCAACAGCTTTGGAAAAGAGCGGCTTCATCCGCTTGGCGTCTTTTTCGGTCACCTTGGCTGAGGTTTCGACCGTTTTGAGCTTAGCGACGTCGGGATTCTTCTCGACAAACGCCTTCGCCTGAGCCACAGTCGGTTTCTTTCCGAGAAATCCTGTCAACTTATTGAATGCTGGATTGTTCTTGAATTTTGTCATGAGACCAAGAGTCGGGAAAACTGATTTCGTCTTGGCTACAGCGCTAGTCTTCTTGACCGATGATTCAACTTTATCTAGAACAGCAGTGTTCTTGACAGACGATGTCACTTTTTCGAGAGCTGCAGTATTCTTAACTGAAGATCCTAAATTCTGTAGCCCACCTCTTTCTTCGGTACTCTGGTTGCTCGTATCGTTGGCGACGCGTTGATGCGTGTCTTTGTTTCCAGTTGTCCTCGCACCATTGGCATCTTGGTAACGCATGGAGCGAAGGAAGCGGCTACTTTCATCGACGAGTTGCAGATTGATATTGCTCGCCTCCGAATTTCCGTCGGTGGCTGTGAAGCTCCATACCAGAGTAATCGCGACCACCAGCGAGGCGACTCCAAGCCGCATTGTTTTTATTGGAGCGCTGATTTACGGTTGTGCTGGAAACGACAAATTGAGGAATGAATCGCTCTGAATTCGCTCTACAACCGAACGTTAGAAGGGAAAGCAATGAAACAAACATACCTTTTCGTATGTACAGTAATCATGAACGCCACACAATCAGATTACGTTGTTCGAGTATTCACGTTTTGCGCGGTTCCTCGTTACAAATTTGGAATATTGACCACTAAGATGCAGTTGTTATCTTAGAGTACTCAGTGCTGGGCATTCAAAGTTCATAAATGCAAAAAAAAAAAAAAAATCGGAAGCGAACCTCCATATATTTTTAACTGTTAAAACGTGAATAAAATGATTGTATGAAATTCAAATAATCGGATCCGCACAGAAATTTGAAGATTAAAAGAGGATTACAGTACGCTACTTTGTGCCTTGGAAAACGTGAAACTGAAAGAGAGACTACCACTGAATGTTACCGTCGCCATTCCAACGTGTCGACAGTCATTACCTGGCAGTAGTGAATAAGAGAGTCAAGTCTAGTGGTGCTTGTTGCCGTTCTTCGATGCCGGCTGGCCTCCACTCTTCTGATTGGGAAGGGACTGTTGCTGATGCTGGTGCTGGTATTGCTGCTTGGGTTTACCGTCACGTAAGTTGCGGGTCTTCTGTTGCACAGCTCCGGAAATCGTCGAAGTCGTAGCCGTAGGAGCTGCTGTCTTGTTCGGCTTAGGCGGTGTTGGCTTCGAGCCAGTCGGTTTTGTTGGAGCAGGAGTCACATTCAGCTTGGGTTTGGTCGGTGGAGACGTCGGCTTCGTAGCCGCGGGGGTCGCCTTCGGCTTAGGCGCAGGCGTCGACTTCGTTGGTGCCGGAGTCACTTTCTGCTTGGGCGACTTCGTAGATGGCGGAGTCGCCTTTTGCTTTGGAGAAGGTGCTTTAGTCTTCGGCTTGGTTGGCGCAGGAGTCGCCTTCGTCGTTGTGGCAGCAGGAGTAGGCTTCGGCTTGGTCGGAGCTGGCGTGACATTCGTGTTGCTCGTGGTAGTGGAAGCAGGTGTAGCTACTGGACCCTGACCGAGAGCACGGTGGTGGCCCTGCTTGGCATCGTTCTTGTTGGGGTGTTGATGATGGTGCTGCGGGTTGCCGTTGTCATGTTTTCCTTGTTGTTGGGGTAAGTCTTTCACTTTTAGAGCTCGGACCGGTGCCCACGATGCCTTCTCGTCGTTCACAGGTTGGGAAGCGTGCAATGAGCTGTCGGTGATACTCGTCACAATGGATTGCTCGGCGAGTGCACCAGGGACGCTGAATGCTGCCATTGCAAGCAGAGCCATAGTAGCCAGGATTGGTGTCGAAATCTTCATTGTCGGATGGGGAAGGGAGTTTGAAGTCGAAGGCGAATTCGAAAGTGAGCAGGTTAGCACTGGGCATTGGACAATGAACCACCGAGAAATCACTAAACTAGACATTATCGGAGGGTTCTTTAAACATGAGTTCACTGATCTGTTATCCGTGGTGCCAAAACTACAGTCCACGTATCTCATTTTTTTCGTGGTTGAGTTGCTACAATTGATCTCGACTCGATAGGCTAATCAATGTAGATGTTATTGTCATCTAGAACTAAAGGTATATCCGGAGAACCAGATCCGTTTCCAGTAAAAAAAAAATCAAACCACCAGATTCATGTCGATGACAAAAATTAATTTCTGGCAGATGACAGCATGTAGAAATTAGTTTTTGTGAAATATGTCCAGCTAAATGTTTACAAAATCGAAATTATCCGGACAACTAACTTGACATTTCAAGAAGCAAATCTTTTGAAATCAGAGGCCGATGGAGCTATCTGCCAAGCTGCGCGACGCTGAGCAGCAGCTCACACGCGCGCTGCAAGCTATTGAGTTGCATGTGGAGCGCGCAAACGCGTCTCTGAGGACAAATGGTGGCCAGGAAACGCCGCAATCTGAGGTCCAGGAGCTAGTGGAGAGGGTGGAGCGGGTCCAGAACCAACTGGAGACCGCGACCTCCCAGCTTGTGGCGCTGGCTAAGCGCAGCGTTGAAAAACAACCCGAGGTAGGCAAAGTTAGAATATTTTAGACTGTGTTGGTTTATTAATCTTATGGAATGTAGGCTGACGACGGAGACGACACGGAGACGGAGGACGAGATGGAGATCAAAGAGGAGCCCCAAATTTCGATTAAAGTTGAGCTTACGGACGAACAAGCAGAAAATTGTGGAAGTTCAAGTCTTGGAGTGGACGATAACAACGCCAAACCCCCTCCAACTGAAGTTGTGGGGTCTGGTTCTGTTGCTGAAATGACGGAGAGTAGAACTGCTACTACGATACGTGAGCCAACAATATCTGGACCTATTACTTGTGACGCTCAAGGACACAATTCCTATAATATCCTAGATCGGATGGAAGAGCGACGGAGGGATATCATAGGATCATACTACTCCTTTATCATATACACGTCCTTCGCCAGTAATGCCATGAAAAAGGGTAACACAACTCGCATTGATGCGGAAAAGCTATTTTCCTGCATGAACTCTAAGGAGTTGGGAGATTTGAGAAAATGTGTCCACAAGCACATGTTGGGGATAAATCAATTATTTATCAAGAATTTAACGAAAGGAAATATTTCAAGAGAATCGGCGGAACAGTTCGCAGCAGCAACGTCACTCGCGGTGTCTCTTTTGATTCGAGACAAGCTGCAGCAGTTCTACGAGCTGCAACAAGTGATCGAGGACCTGAGTCATATCCTGGGCATCGCAAAGGATTCTCTCTTAGTACCGGAGTTGTCGCCTATTGAGAAAAGTCGCGATGAACTTTACAAGTACAGCCACGCTTCGTTCCGGGGCTCTTTTGAGGAAATGTCGAGTTTTGTGGAACTAGAAGAGCGTCATCGCTACGTTGAAGCAAACCACCTGCCAGCTCTCGTTGTGTCACTACTACGTAAGTTCATTTGGGACTGCGTGAACTACAGTTTGCAGCAACAAGTTGTTGCAGCGCCACCGCGAACGGAGTCTCAATGGGAGCGCTTTACAGAGATTGGACTGTCGTTGGCGAGACTAATGAACTCGCTGTCGACTGCCGATGTCTCTTTCAAGATCTCGAACCCGTCGATGAACTGTACGAGGCTGAAAGCATTTAATACTCGATTCCCCGGGAGAATTCCAGCAACATTATTTGCGTAAGTTTTGATACTATTATCACATATTGTGAAGCGAGCAACTAACTATTTGTGGTTTGTAGAAATTGGTGTTGTTTGGTACGCCACAACATTGAAGTGCCTCTTTCTGACTGGAGCGTTAAGCCATTTCCAACAGCGAGAAGAAGTATACAACATGTACAGACCGCAAAGAGAAAATTGTCTGCCTCTTCTGACGTGAATCCGCGAGAGACCAAGCGCGCAGCTACAGACAATAGAGAGACGGCTGCGCTAGCGGATACACCGAAGGATACACCTCTCCAACAATTTCTTTCGGTTGCAAAGGAAACGAGACAAGGTCTGGAAAGTACACAGAAGTTAAGCTCCGAAGAATTGACGATTTCGAGTAAGTGGCTTAGAACTATCTCAAAGATCTTCGTTGAAGCTGTCGATGAATTTCTTCTGCGTACGGCGCGCCATGACATTGATGAAGAGACAACGGCAGCTTTCCTCGAAGCTGCAGCTCTTGCTACATCGTTTATTATCGCCTGCACGGACAGGAAGCGGTTCAAACGTCCGTGGATCATGCAGATACTTGTGCTGTTAGGGGAAATCCATGGCCCTAAAAAGAAGATTGAATCGAGTCCTCACACTCTGGAATCGATTGGCGAAAGTTGGAATAGGCTCTTGATGTATGTGGACAATCGATTCCCAAATTACTTGGTCGATATAGTCGCATATTTGAAGAGCGTAGAGGGACGCGAAGGACCAGAAGCGGGGATGTCGCGTCTGCTTGATATCATCGACACGCTGGCGGAGAAGCTTGAAAAAGTGTGCTCATACGGCATGTTGCGTGAAGAATTGCGTCGAATTAAACCGTGGCCTGAAGAGCTGTGGCAAACATTTAACCAAGCCTGGTGGTCTCTGTTGAACTGGACTGACATTGTGCTTGAAGCACAGCTTCCACCACCAGAATGGATTTTCTCGATGCGAGAGCTACTGGAGGATTTTGGACGCTTATACCCACACAGAATTCCGAAGCCTGTTTTCATGTACGTTATCAATTGTTTGTCCAAGTAAAGTGAATTCTGACACAAATTCATTTTATTTCGTAACAGGTTGGTTGAATCGATGAAGAAGATTGATAAGCTAGAAATCAGTGCAGCCAAGTCTGGAGTGGAGGAAGATAATAACAACGCTGTACAAACGGTAACGGCCACCACGACGACTGTTGTAACCAAGATCAGACGTATCTCGCCATCGGACGAAGATGCTGTCTTAAGAGAGTCCACACATTGGCGGATGACTCGATTTCTAGAGATGGCGACTGAACTTCAGCAGACATTGAATGAGAGTGAAGAGACTGTGTCGGTATCACGAACCGCGATCCAATCTTTGTTAGCAAGAGCGCAAGAAGCAAACACCCTGATTGAGGAATGCGTGGCCCGTGGAGTTTCTGACGAGCGTATTACGATTGCATTTGGCGGGGTCACAAAAACCGTCACAAAACTGCTTCTCCATTGCCCAAGAGATGAAGTGGATCGTGAGCAGCTGAAGGAAGTGTTGGAACAATTCGAAAGCATTCTCGAATCGTGTGAGACCGCGGAAGATCTGGCTCAACTCGCTACACCATTGACAGAGAGCTACTTGCAGCTACTCGAATTTTGAGGCCAACGATTATTATTCTCACAATTGGGAAGAAAACAAAAATTCGAACTAAAAAAATGTCATTGCTATGTTGAAGAAATTGTAAAAATCAAGCCTACCATCGCCATTCCAATGTGCCGATAGTTATCAGTAACCGAACTTGAAAACCGAGATTATTATTGCTTGTCTGTGTTTTTCGACGCTTGCTTGCCAGCGCTGCTGTGATTGTGAGGAGATTGTAGTCACTGGTGTTTGGCTTGGCCATCACGTAAATTGCGAGTCTTCTGCTGAACATCAGAACTCGTTGAAGTCGCCGTGTTTGGCTTCGTTGCAGTTGGCGTCGGTTTGGTTGGAGCAGGAGTCACGTTTGGCTTGACATTGGTCGGGGTAGGAGTCGACTTCGTAGATGCCGGAGTCGCCTTCGGCTTGGGTATGGTGTGACAGGGAGCTACAGTCTTCGGCTTGGTTGGCGCAGGAGTCGCCTTCGTCGTTGTGGCAGCAGGAGTAGGCTTCGGCTTGGTCGGAGCTGGCGTGACATTCGTGTTGC